TATTATTATAAGAATTGTGCAAGCACTAAATAGAGAAGTAAGGCTATAGCTCCAATAGGCGAAAGAGATAATACTCTGAAATTGGATTACCCCAAATAAGATCGTTTTATTCATTCAAACTATCCCACAACAGGGTTTAAAACGATCTAATTAGGCTTGTAAGATATTGTTGGTACTTTTTTACAATGTTTTGTGTAGATCGTGTGAAAGCACTAGTTCTCATAATCACCTTGAAGTAGGTAGTATTTAATGGGAAAGAAATGTTGGACGACCAATTTATTTCAAATTGAAGCACACCAACGAAAGGCGACAAATATCAATGATCAACTGCTACATCAAAACGGATAAATGAACCATGACGAGATGAAATGTTTTGTAAAAACTATTTTAACTACAATACTCGTATGTAGCGTACATACGAGTATTGTAATGTATTCATTTTCATTTTCCGGCAAGAAACGTTTAAAATAATGACTAAGAGAAAATATTCAGTTGTTATTGTACTTCCTGTCCTTTAATAGAACATCACTGCATGCCCTATCGATATACTGGCTAGATACGCATACCTAGCCGCGTGTATCTATTGTCGATATAGTACTTCGTAAACTCAGATTTCATTATTTCTTTGCATCACAAGATTTACTTATTGAAGCTGAAGGAAATTGATGGGAAGAGAGGCGTAGTAGATTACTTAACAATTCACCAAATTCACACTATGAAATTGAATAGTTCCTTTAGTTTAGTTCCATATACCTTCCAATTTAAAGTAGAATTTGAGCAATGGCCATAGCAGGTGTCACGGGTAAAACTAGGACTGAATAAATTTTAATTCTCAAGTTTTACCCCAGGCAAAGCGTAATAAATTCTGTGAATTGACTTGTATGTACTACAGTACTGGAGGAGTGTGGTTCAAGCCCAAACGATCTTGAAACAAATCGCTGTTTCGTCAATTCGAAGTGGTAATTTTCTAGTGCTCAGTACTACAAACAAAAATCCAGCACTAATAGCAAGACTTACTTCTAATTTTATTATAGCTTTAACTTTATATGTCGTACCTAATGCACGATGATGCGAGTATTTTGCAACACAGCAAAATACTCATTTTATGTTGCAATAGAAAATCTCCGTTCTATACATACTAGATTGATTAAGTTACGTACTGTAAATGTTCAATTTATCATTTCGATATTTAAAATATGTTAATTCAATGATAGATGTACAATAATAATAGCCATACGTATATCCGACATAGCGGATATTATCCTACGATATTTCTAATATATTTACATACGATATTAGTATGCACAATGTAACTATGTTATAACGATATAATAATATCATTTAACAGAACGGGAATAAACACAAAAATTCTATCGTTACACGGCTTACGCCTACAGCTACATCAATATATCTTACAACAACCTTTCTCGCAATACATAATAACTTTAATTATTATAATCAGACGTAATGCCGATACCTAATATTGAATGCGAACAATAATATTTATAAATTCCTCGTCGATTTTATATTATTTCTTTAAGATAAAGCATATAGATATATACGTTGTTGGTTAATATCTAAGATACAAACAATACATGCAACCAGGATATACTCAAATTAAACTAATATCAGTTTGAAAGAGCTACCGGTATTACATCCCAATATTGAAATTGTCAAGTCACTATAAAACATTATATTAGGAAAAAAATTTACACCGGAATATCTCTTATTTTTTAGTTACGGAATTAAAATTAATACAAGTGCATCTATGTCCAATAAAATGGAATTGCAGAAAAAGTATATAAAAAATTATTGTAACTTAGAATACCTCTTACAACTTTTCTGTAGTCATATCAATGCTAGTATAGAGTTCGATTCAGGGCGCCATTAATATTCACATGTATATATATATATATGTATATATAAGTCAGAGACTGAATCGAGATATGTCATAATCGTCGCTGATTAATAAAAAATCTACTGTGGCATTTGTAAAGCATATTGCAAAAGATTTACAGATTGCAGTCGCTGATGGTAGAGTCCTTCTGATGACGAAAGATACATTAAGATGTTGCTGTTATTTTGTAATTAAAATTGAAAATATATAGTATTAAAGCTAATAGCTTTGCTAATAATTATATAACAATATTAAAGTACCCTTTGATCGCCTATTATTATTGCATATAACAATAAGAGATTACGTAAAATGGTACGCATAATTATTGTTCGAGGTAGAAAAAGCTCCTGTGTCATCGCTACATATCATTTCTAATGCGGCATTTGATTAGTTTGAACAAACCTAAAATGATCTTAAAATCTATACAATGAAATTTACTACTATTATAATAATAAATTACTAGCGCCTATTAAATGCACTGAAAAGCATTACGCATAACGATGCGATAGAGGCTTGCTTCCGCCTATAACGCCATACAAGTGGATATTTTATGTCAGATTCATTACAATTACATTACGCTAATTAAACGTCAGTCATAGACTATGGCTATAGAGCTCATTGTGAGTTAACCATAAATCCATGTCTTACGGGATTTTATATTTATTATGCCCAACCATTAATGTATCGTTTTAATTACGTTAGAAGACTAATATCATACACGTATACCAGTAAATACGCAAGAATAACTCCAGAATATAATTATTAAGTTGCACTTCATTCCCAATTGAATGGCGTATTTTTAGACCAAAATTGTATTTATATTCAAAAATAAACTGAATAGAATAAGTGTAACCTTGGATAACATATGTGTAACATCAAATGACAACGATAACAGTGATTCAGTTCAAAAGATCAGTTTAACAGTTAATCAGGATTTTATGTTCCTAGTATAATTGTAACAGCATATAAATACAATATCATCAAATTAATTAAACACGATCATTTCTGATTACCGTTACCTCAATCATTTTTCTTAGAACTCCAAGAAAGTTGAATCCAACACTTAAGGGTAAAAATTTTTTTATTTCGTCCAAAAATACACTCAATTAGGCTATTGGTCCATTAATTATTCAACTCTTTTAACAGAAAAGTACTGTTTACCGTCAATAAAAAGATAAGTATTGTCTTGATTTTTTAAACTCAACATATTTACCATCAGAAATTTAATCTAATTCATTCACGTAATGAATCAGATTGACGTATTATGATCTTTCATCCCAATGAATGATAATAGTCAATGATTTAACAAAAACGTAAATGGAAAGAAATTGTTAATTTTCGAGTTATGTATGATACATAGCCGTTCTTAAACCTTTTCCATTTTTAATAATGAGTAATTTGCATTAATAGTAATCGCTGTAGCTCGACTTAACGAATAATATTTTCTAATAGTGATGATGATAGCGGCATGAAAATTATATCGTACTTTATTCTATGTGTCTAGCCTATATATTATTTACATTAGAGATAATAAAATGATAGAAAATCTTTCAATTTACAATATTAGATCGTAAAGTTGCACTGCACTATAGGTTAATTAATCACAAGAAATAGATCATGATTTAAATATCTCATTAAAATATAGACATTGTCAGACAATTTATTGTACAATACTGTATAACTAAACTCATATAAATATGCACCATTTCTATCTAAAACTAAACTATACCAAAATATCCTTTCTATTTTGACATCTAAGTTCTTACGGTCGATTACTCATCGTTAAATAATCCTAATCAATTTAACTCGAATAGGCTATATTTTCTCTCACGGCTTTTGTAAATGAAGAGGAATATTGTGGATGGCAACAATTAAAAATTGATTTATTTATTTACATACGAAGTAAATTCTACTATCCTTTTACTGAAATTAGATTGTTTTTACGAGTACACTTTTTCATAGGCGATAACATATTCATTTCTTATTTATGATCAAGAGTTTAAAATCAAAACATGAGCATCATTTAATGATAAAGAAACTAGTAGAGCAAAGTAGAAAAGATTGGATTTGATGAATGTTTTTCCAACGGACGATTTGTCTATCATTGGAGCATAAAGTTGCACTTTTGATGCAATAATAATCCATTATAAAATTGGCGAAAAAATCCTATATTTTCTTCAATTCTATTCCTTTTCGATCGAGTGTTACGGTATTGTACAAATAGAAACAAAATAAATTAGCTTTTTTCAGCTCTTATTTGGTTACTGATCAAGAAGAAAGGTAATACTAATGATAAAGAAGATAGCATTAGGTAGGGGATAACATGATGAAAATGCCTACAATATATGCGTCCATCCATATATACAAGTCTTCTCTAATTTAAGGAGAGGAAACGAATTTCGTGACCATTGGAATAGTTTACTCTTTGTTATTATCGCTTTGTTCTACATAGTTGAAAGTGGGACATGACTTTATTTACTCCTAATTTAGCTTTTTCCATTGATTAATCGATCAAATAACAAACGTATTTGGTAAAATACGATATAATATAAACGTAAATGAAATCGCACCTATAGAAGTGACTATCACCATTACATACCTTCAACAAAATAACGTCAACAATAAAGGAATATGGCAGTCGTTATTACTTTCCAAAGAAATTGAATAATTCAATAAAAAATTGTATGTAATCAAAATCTATTATAACTAGTGATTTTTCTATCTGCCCTCATTTCTTCTCTGACATTCGATGGTTCGGAGCCTGTCAGACTTGTTGTGTAAAAATTCTTCGTTAAATTAAAGTAGTAAATCTTATCCTTTCAATATTTATATACAGTACGAAGTTAACATTTGATAAAAACCAATTCTATATCATCGAATTCTATTTCACCGACAAGTATTCCGTCTAATACTACAAAAGAAATTGTTTTCCCATCATTTTGATGATATAGTAAGTAATTTATAGCTATCATCTTGGTCTCAAGGTTTAAAGGAAGAAGAAATAGTAAGAAAAGATTCTTTCATTATTTATTGTTATCAGTGTGGAATCAGACGATCAGTTTCCCCATTAGAATAATTAACAACTACATAAAGTCATCTAATCATGACTTCCATCAATACAACCAGCTTCGCCAATTTTTCCAATAAATCTAATAGCACCCTTGGAAATCCAGTACCACCAAGGCCACTTTGGGTAATGGTAGTTTGGCTCTGTGTGGCATGCTTTATTACTGTTGGTAATTCCATTCTACTTGTTTTTATCGCCTTGCAAAAACGCCTTCGAACTATCTCCAATTGTATATTAATTAGTATGTCGTTAGATGCTATTTTAATTGCTGTCTTATATTTAGTGCCCAGGCAAGTTCTTGAAGCTAGTACATTAAAGAAATCACCACTGTTTTGTAACTTAAGTCTTACATTTGGCATATCATTTTTTATTAATTTAAACTTTCATATGTGCATTCTCAGCTTGGAACGTTATTTTTCTGTTGTATATCCATTCCGTTATAAATCTTTAATAACACAACGTAATGTTATTATAGTATTGCTAATATCATGGGCATTTTCAACTCTAGCTGGTTTTATACCTTTTATGATATTTTTTAACTTGAGTAATCAAGTATGTACAAATCGCTCCAATGATGAACTAGCTGAAACTATTTATTATTATATCGTATTTATTATTTTATTTTACATACCTTTGATTATTATTATTGCTACATATACTAGAATTGTATGGATTGTTCGTACTATGAATAGAAATCATCTTAGAACTAAAAATTCGATCATAACTGAGAAAAAAAATAAGAAAGCACTCCTTCAAGTCAGCATTATTGTCGGGATTTTTTGCCTATGTTGGATACCTTATACAACTTATTACTTGATATTAAGACTGGATATGAACGATTTCTTAATTTCTATATGGCGGCCATTACAAATTCTAGCATTCTCAAATCCAGCTATTAGTCCATTACTTTTTGCCTATTTTAATGCCGATGTGAGGGAAGCTGCTAAAGACTGCCTTATAAAAACATCGAAATTAAACATATCGACTTCCGCAGCTACCGATCTAACATCAGCCAGGAGCAGTTTCTCCAAATATTTACATAAATCAAGATCTCGTGAATTAACCGAAAATCGCGGTCGTTTGATATCGTAAGTGCACTTATTCAATTTAAAACTACTAAAACATTTAAATTAGTGTGCATCAACGTTTACTGTATCTTTGATACTACGCATCACAATTAATATTATATGTTATAAAATCAAATATAATTACTATACCGGATATCCATGGTCTGCCTTTAAGATAGTTTTGAAATGATGAAAAGACAAACAAAATTTTGCAATTTTGTACTTGCGTACAGTATATCCTTTATCGCCATAAGAAATTTTATATAGTTTGCTTAGAAGCCTAAGAACATGCCATTTTTCTGTATAATCTAATATTATCTGCAATATCAGCTTTTATAAAAGTGTGATTAATCAAAAAATGATGAATTGCTTTATTTTTACGATCTTATATCTTTCTCTTACGCTATTGATTATTTTTAGAGCCCTTCCGTCAATTCCGCTATCGGCCTCGTCTACATCAACGGGCAAAATCACACCAGTTTAAGTCTATGCGGACTATATAATCAATCGTAACAATTTTCTTCATTACATCTAGCTATTGTGCATAGCTTTTATAATCTACTGACGTCGAAATACTAGACATTTTAATGCAAAAAATTTTGAATTTTCGATTACGTGTTAGCTACTGCACTGCTTTGGATTATTCTTTCAATATAGCTAATATGACTTGTGATTCGTCGTTGATTGTACTACCAGCTGTAATGCTGTAAGACAGTTCCAGTAATTTTTATCAGATTCTCTCTGTTAAACACTATAATGGTAGAGTGGCGATTTTTCGCATGACTGTATGCTTATATATTAAATCTAGATTATTACATAATGATATAATTTTTATTTGTAGTCGGTCATGAACCAACGGTGGTTAATTTAAAAATTTAAGAAAATCATGCAATTTATTGCGATTGTTCTATCAGAAATTTTAAAATTAATTTCTTATAACGATTAGAGCTAAAATTTCGATTATTCTTATCTGATGAAAGAAAAATATACGAAATTTTAGTGCTACAGGCAAAAATTTAAGTTCACTAACTTTTGCTCCAAGGATATGCTAGTAGATTTTTTCGTATACAATTAATAAAAGCTTTATTGCACAAAGGTAATCGTTGTTCTAATTGCAAAAAGATGCGCTGTCTATTATCATGAATTTTACGCGCTTTGGTCAGGTAAACTTTCTTGAATATAATTATGATTGCATCAAAGCCGTACTTATATTGATAGTATTCCCAAACAGACAATAATTTATTATTCCATTCACATACATTATTATTAATATAATAGGGTATCAAACGTTATATTTTAAGCAATAGAATTGCCGTTGACATAATTTTATAATTAGCTTAATGACATTTAATTCCATTAGGTATATTCTGCTTGATAGGTGCTTTTAGTTGTCTATACCAGTATCTCTATCATTCAGATATATATTATTGGTTGTAATAGTGTTTGTACTACTGTTTCCGTATAAATGTGATTTCTTACAATACTAATTAATATTATATCCTTATAACGTTCTGCCCTTAATAGTGTTTGATCCATTTATGAATAATACTTCAGCGAATAGCTTTAACATAGGAACAAGATACTTAATAATCTGTACATCTGGTCAATGTCTTATTTACTAAATATCAGTCACGGATTCACCTAAGCATCATCTGCTGATAAGATAATTTATGAATCTCTATAAATAAATACATTTGAAGGCCGAAAACTAATAACGAATTATTATGTTATCTTGTTCTTGTAAACATGTAAGAATTTAATGTATTAAATATCTAAGTTCGCAAATTCTTTTCTGACTTATTTTAGTTACCCTAAATTATTAATGTACCATAAGTAATTATCGGTACTTTATTATATCATATAATCAGCTCTAGCTATTAAATTGTATACATTATACATTCGATAAAATTGAATTCTTAATACTTGAAAACAATCCAAAATAATTATTATGCACATCATCTAAATGCCAGAGTAATAATAGGCTTATACCAATGTTATGCTGTAAACAGCATTTTATTATATTGTACTGTACGATTATAATTGAATTTCACTTATAAATTATGATATCTATTTCTACCGATCGATAGTACATCATAAAATCGGAATTTAATAAATCATAATCTGTAAAATCTTTACAGTTAAATCCTATAATCGCTCAATTAATTGATATATATACGTTAATGGCATCATTTCGGCATGCCATGACATACTGGCTCTTTGTATTGGTTAAGCTAATTGATTTAGATTTCATGTCGTACTACTGCATCTACTTACACTTATTTGAATGATAACGTTAGGAATATTTCAATAATTGCAATTTCAGCGATAAATTTCTATTCAATTAATATTAAAAGTTTACCTATAAATTTTTAATTGGCTTAAAAATTACAATTGCAGCAAAAACGGTAGCAACTAAATATTAATTAAATTTTTTTTCAATCAGGTCAGATACACAATTTAATTGATAGTGTGTGATATTATAAGATACTTACTACTGGAATAAAATTTTATTCGCAATATATTTGATTCATGATTAGAGAATTAACTTCCTTCGGCCTTCTAGCCATAAAATCGTAACGATCATGAATGCATAGTTAGTATCAGTGAATGACCATCATTTGGAAGTAATCGCTTTGGTTTTTGAACTCCAAGCGGAAGCATTGGATAAAAATAAACTCCAATTACGGAATAAAAATCAGTCAATATTACCATATAGCGACTGGCCTAATCATTCTCTTTCTAAATAGAATAGTAACATTTCAAGTATATATGTTATACATTGTTATGTATTACCGCCAGATTTAATGTTTTGTTGTCTATATCAACGCAGGTGCAATGCCCCAAGGTTATTATCCAGTACTGTAATCCTTCCAGCTTGTAATCGACTATAGTACTGTATTAATTAATTTATAATAAAAAAAGAATATCTACCTTAATCTTCTTATTTTAATTGCACAATCCAAAATCACCTTCTATTTTATGTTACGTCTTGTTTTCTACCGTACTTTCCCGATAATTTCCTAACCTACTAATTATTCAATCGATTGATTTCAACAAAACAAACTGGTGTTGTTTATCTTGGGAAATAAGCAGCGGAGCTTATCCTTTCTTTTGAATACTTTCATACGCTAATGCTGTTTAGCATATGCTCATAGACACTGTCAATAAATGTGTAGATATATACTGTATTAATCTTAACATCGCAATCATGATTATAATAAACAATCTGCTATTTATAATTGTTATAAATGTGGCACTGTAAAATTATGTAAACTCTCACTTTATCTTTGTTACGATAATAAAGAGAAGCAGAAAATTTTCTCCACAAGTCTCCTTAATAAACTCGGGAACTGCTTTCTCTATAATACGCAGTGGTATTATTTGCCATTTTCAAGAGTTTCCTAGTACAGTATTCTTGACTGAACTTTTTATAAATTTCTCAGAAATTTTATTTTTTTATATCCTATTTTTCTTTATTGATCAAGCATTTAATCAGTTCCTGTTCATTTATCCGACCTATACTGTACCAGATTCTTAAATATTACTCCTTTAGTAATCGCTAAGGTTATTTACTATTTTATCAATTTACGAATTACTACTGTTGCACAGTAAGAAGCACTACCGTTATTATCACCTTAAATTGAACATTGTACAATATTGTGTACTTCGTTTCTGGCTACAATAGTTGCATCTAGTCAAATAGCGGCAAAGTTTGTGAAATATCATTGATGTAATATTAAAAGGTACAATACTATAGCATTTCAGACTGTACTGAGCAGTCGAAAGCTTGATGGATCGACTTGATATTTGACGGTGCTATTTTATCAGGAGTAATCTAAATGATGGTAGACGAACACATTAATGTTCTATAAGTACAATAGGTAGGCGTGTGAAATTTAAATTAAATCTTATCAGACAGATGTAAATAATTGATAACGATGAGTTATCTCTTAAAGCTATGATTATTTTTAGCAAATAAACACTGTGCAAAAGTTAAATATCCGGTATTATATAAGTGATATATTCTCTACATAGAAATTTATGAATTTTAATAATAATATGTTAGAATTCATCATCCGAGTATCAAGGCTTTTAGATAGTTGGTTCAACCATGTGTAAGTTATGGACTTTTTATTACACTATAACAAGTTAGCTAAGTGAAACGAGTATAAGCAAATAATTTTTATCTAAATTGTTCTATAAATTTACAATTTATGTAGCGTTAGTATTGAATTGGTTGACTAATTTATCCCACCCACCCTCTCTGCAAACGAGCAGCGCTGGGGTATTTATACTACTGTTTGATGACTCTAATTATGGGTTCTTTTCAATAGATCAGTATAAGATTCTTACAGTACTTTTTACCTCAAGATTTCTTCATGCAAAACGAATACCTCTACGGTAGTAATTTCTGCAGAGTACTGATTATTAAAATAGTATTCGTTATATCGCTAAGGGTGGCCACTGGGCCTTTCAATTTTGATTTGATGTAATATTCTGATAAAAATTGAATAAACATAGAATCTTTATAGAGTTTTCTACACAGCTATTTTGATTGTTACATTTTCTTATAACGGTTGCTATCGACAGAGCAAGCTTTACTGGCATACTCAAGCAATGCTTAGACACATTATAATGATTGGTCACAGCCATTTTGATTGTTACATTTTCTTATAACGGTTGTTATTAGATAGAGAAGACCTTGTTATTGACAGAGAAAGCTTTGCTTGCATACTCAAGCAATCCTTAGACACATTATAATGACTGGTATAGAATTGACCACAGTACTAAGGACATTGTATCGCACTGCAGATATCTTACAGTACCTGCTAATCTTAACTTGGTATGTCCATCACCGTACATTAGTTATCATAATATGCTTTGGACCGTTAACTAATTTTAATATAGCATTTCATCCGTCGATGCATTATTGAAAAGTAGTATTCTACAAGCATAGCTATGAATATAGCAGTGCCTGGCTATTACCGGGATATAAATAATGGCGAATGGTAATACCGTCTGTTAATTATTAACAAATAAGTACATTATCGTAAACCGTCAGCAAAGCGACGTTAGTTTGTACTAGTAATTATTAATCGTAGTAAGTAAGAATGATTTATTTTGTATGACGTTTATACTGTATTGGTACTTTTCATATATAGATTGATTATATGTACGCGGTCGTACATTTATTGAATAAAAATGATCACAAGGTTTAGAGTACTCCACAAGAGTAGTCGAAACATAGACTAGATTTGCAATTCAAGAGAGTAAGTAATGTCTTATGCTATATATATACGTTGACTTTACCCTACATCAAAGGCTATAGATTATGTTCTGTTATTTATTAATACGAGATAATAAGAAGTCGTATACTTACTTTACCTTTACTGAGTAAAATAACTACTAAGGTCGATGTATTTCGTAAAGTAAACGCGATCTCGATCACAATCGTGATATACCGGCATAGCGTAGCGCGTTGATAGGGTGTAGTTAAGTATTTACGCACTAAGACATCCAAATAAATCTTTCCATTTCTGTTTGCATTATACCTTTTCTCTCCTATCTTAACCATCATTTAACGAAAATATTGCCGAATTTAAGTTTCAAAAAGAATAAAATAACTCTTTATGTTAGCTTCATGCAAATACGACAATTTCCTGTATAGACGATATCCAAAAAGACTTTTTATTTTGGTATTCGTAATATCAGATTGGTAGATGCCTTGATATTTAAGAACAACTGACATACTGTCAATTTTTATACTATAAAATTATCCATTTTTTCCTAACATTATATAGGAGACAAAATTTTCACTGTAATATTTCTTTAGTGTAGTTTTTGGGATCCAATTTGTGAAAAGTCTTTAAGACTTTGCAAATTAGATTTAAAATACGATGATTATATAAATAAGGTAAGTCACAATGGTTAGAAAGAATCGTCAGCATCTACAAATTTACGTCATTATTCTAGTATATTAGAGAAGAAAGAAAGGAAACTTTAATATGGTTAGAGTTAGTGATTTTACATAATGTTATATTATGAAATTGCAACTTTTCATCAATTTAGTTAATTAAATTTCATTTTATAACATTAAGTATCGCTGAAATCATGATTAATGATCTTGTATCCACTACCATTACACTTTTAACGAACATCTAATGATACATTGTGATATAAGCCCTTAAAGAAAACCTTTGGATATAGCAATAACTAAATGTAAAAATTTAGAATAAAATAGCTTATTAGCATTACCACGGCTATTATTATATGTATAAGATAGTAACAATAGTACACATATATAATCACAATAACAGCATATAAAAAAATTCTTGATGTAAAGAATAAGATTACCGATTTACAATAATATTAAACTTACTTCGAGCTTATACTAATTTATTGTGCACAACTCTTGACTTCAATCCTGATATTCTGCCTAATTTGTTAATTATACATTAAATGATCTAAACTGGCTTAGCCATTGCCAGGAAAGAAAGACAATCAACAGTAAATAACTTATATGCCTATGCATACACTTTTCGAAGCTTGCAGTACTTAATACTGCTATAAACTACTATAGCAAGAAGTCTAAGTAATTAAGTTCATATTGGTAGCAATGGCAGAGCAGTAATTATTGTAGATTCGGTTATACTGGTATGAAACAATTTGCACTTGCAGTTATTCGGCCGACTAGGTCATTTTATAGCGATAGTGATCCAAGTTATTACACACCGGCATATTAACTTATTTATTAAACCGGTATGCTTTGCAGCTTTGTAACATATTCATTCTTCATGAAATCCATGCCAATATGATATTCTCTTCGGCTTTAGATACATAAAATTCCCCTTAAAGGTACAATTGGGTGTGTTATTTGCGGTAGCTTGGCATGATATAACAAAAGCAATGTTATCTTAACATAAATTCATTTTAGCCACCTAAGATTATTTTATTGTAAGTATTATGAAAATGACTTAGTTGTGTTGAATGCGTGCTTGTTTACATTTTACAAAACAAGTTCATGTTGATAAATACGAATTATTCCGATCTTGATAGAATTCCTCTGGCCACTGATGAGATAGACTGTCTCGGATGATGACTAATCGTTTTTTGTAGTATTCTTGAGATTTATTATTATATATATAATGTTCTATATATATATAATGACTTATAATTGCAGGCCAACTTCTATTTTAATATAACAGTTGGATTAAATTTTATTCAAGGATACAACTTTGATTTGATCGTTTACGCTATGCGTGTTAGTAATCCATCAATCTTTGCCAACAGTAATTTGGAAAGCTCACTTGATACTTCATATATTTGTGTGTAAAATTCGAGCAATAAGTATTCCGTTATGGTTAGAAATAATGATTTAATATAAATAAGCTATTAGCATAGACCAAGTTTTTAGTTGCTAATAAAGTATTTCGCCATAGCAACTGTTAACAGCACTTCTAGAAGCCCATTGATTTTTACATTTACATAAATTCAAGAATAACGATGCTAGATATCAACCATAAATTCGCGATTGTTATGGAATAACATCATCTAAATAAAGTTTCAAATTTCACTTTTGATCGACAATGTTGCTTTATTATTGCAGTAAGGAAGGAAGAGATTTTAAAGATTCAAGACTAATTAGATGTGATACGTTTCGTTTCGATATTAAACATTGGATTCTCTGATCGTGTAACCCTGTGAGTAATAGGCGATTAATGTTGTTAGATCGTGTCGAAATTCTTGTGTAACTCTTCTGGTCGATGATGAAAAGCTCTTATTGTAAGCGTTTCTATGAGCTGATTTAATGCAACAAAATAAATACTTGAGTTGGCGGACTGCTTCTTCACGAACATCGGATCTTTGTATAGTCAGGATAATAGGCTGAAAGACTGGGAACATGAAGGAAATGTACTGGACGATTTGGGTTGCAATACGAAGAGTAACAACACTAGCTAAGCCAAAGATATTCATAATACAAATAACGAAAAATGGCCCTAAGAATAGCAAGTAAAATCCAAAAACGAAGACAATTTGTTGTAATACTTTTCGTGTATTACTAGAGCTATCACTAGTCACCATAAAATCATCGTTAGCTAATCCACTTAATCGTCGCATATTATGACTCAATTTTCGCACTACCGAATATATTTTACAATATGAAAATAAGAGTATGAGCAAGACTATGACTGATATACTTGTAACCAATATTGTAAAGACTTGATATAATATATAAACTGTTTCAAAACAAATATTATTAGCTGCAGATGTCACGTTGGCGATTTCGATATATATTTGAAATGTTACTGGTATACCAAGTGTGATGGTCCATGTTATCATAACAGAAGCTAGCACCACTTTTTTAAATGTTAAACCCAATAAAGCGAATGGACGGCTAATAGCTACATAGATTTCAGCGATAAGTAGAAAGACATGAATATTAAGGGATAGGAAAAGGCATTGGCCTAGACGACTAAAAAGGCCACATCGAACATCGAAAGGATATTCATTAAAGGGAACAAAACGTGGAATGATATAGCCACAAACGAAAACAATATCGGTAATTAAAGCGCTACATAATATTACGTTGCGAAAGTTCCTCAGCTTGGGGCGTCGAATGATTAATTGGAGTAGCCAAATGTTGGTTAGAAGTGTTAAAGACGATGAAATAATATATCGGATGGATACAGTCATTGCTGCTACTATATTAACGTTACCATGATAGCCAATGGCGGATTTGAATCTTAGTAAATTACGACGGACGTTATCGAATTGTTATATCAATGTTGGATATCCTTCTAAGTTTGCTTTTTTTTAACTTAATTTACTTGGTGTTGTGAACTAAGGAGTGCAGTAGTTGGTTGAAGAAAGAAATTGTCTAACGACAATAATTCCAATTGATTTTTTTGTTCTGGATTGACTGTAGACAATTCACAAGCTAGCGTTGATTAAACCTTCAAGAAACAGCCAATTAACAGCTTCAATATACTATAATGGAAGATGTACGAATCAAGCTTAGGTTATATTAGACTGCCCTTAAGTAATCCTTTTACTACAGAAACCCCTTTGGTATCTTCTTGGTAGTGCCTTAATTATTCAGTAGCATTAATCAACTTCGTTTTTTTCTATGCGAATATAGTACTATTTTATTGTTCCAACTGTTTAATATAGCTTTCTTTACTGGTCAGTGGTCAGTGTACAAATAATGAAAAAAGCATATATCCAAGTCAATAGTTATAACACGCCCTTAAATAATTATATAATTACTTTTTTCCAAATAAGTAATATGGTAATGAATTGTTATGAATAGGAAACATTATATGCAGACTGTTCTCTATTTAACGTATTGCCAAGCAATGATATAAAAGTTTTTCTTATATGTATCCACAGGTAATCGTAAATATGTTGTTTTTAGTGTTAAAAAAGCATTAAATTGATAAATAGAATATGCCATGTTTTTTACTACTGAAGCATGGAAAAGAATGGAGGCAATTTATGGCTTATCACAACGATAATGAAATTGTAATATGACCATTTAAGTATATTTAAACGTTTTAAACTTTTAGAAATGAAATCATTTACTCAGACAATGCACGTAATAATTATCATACAAAGTGCATTATCGTTTTGCTACTTTAGATATTATTCCTCTCTAATTAATATAATTTAAATATGAATATCCTTAATGCCCGAATAATGAGCATAATGATACCAATGTGTTGTATGAGGATATAAAGGAAATGAATATTTTCTTTGAGGGAGGTTATTTAAAGTTAATTAGTTGATAGTACGAGTATTTGACTGAAAATGAAATGATGAATGCGTTTTAAATGTAAAGTATGGAATATGGTGTCTGAAATTTCATCGTAATCCTGAATAGTTAAGAATTAACTATAATTCTATATTTTCATTGCATTTATAATCAACGGGATGATAGAGACTGGACGATACTATCTATCCACTGTACAACAATCCCATTTTATTTAAGGAACGCATCAAGTAAGCTAGCAGCAGATGTTAAGAGAGAGTACAATCTATTTTAAATGAGTAGATACCGTCGATCATAATTATGAGCTAAATACGAAGGATATGTGATCAATCCGGGATCTTAAAACTAACCTATGTGCATTAAAGAAGGGGAAGGGAATTTGCATAATTGCCAAAGTTTAATTATTCATATACAGGAACGTTCTTTCAGATTTTTTTGATGTTGCCAAATTTCAAATGATCTCAAGAAGATATTGGAAATTTTATAGTGTTTTAGCTTATTACTAACGGATTAATCGTAGACTTTATTGGAGTTAGTGTAGCAGCTAATAAGAATTGTAATTACTAGGGAAACGCAATTCTACCCTACAGCGTATCGTTTTCGTCCAAAGTAAGCGATACTCTAAAGTTATATCGATAGCATAGATTTCTTTTAACTGGGGCACATTCAGAGTGTCAAAGTAATGATTTCTTATGTTATTCTTTTTATTTATCAACCATAATCTTGATCTGTTGTCCCTTTACTTTCCTTCAGAACAATGTTGTTGAAACTGGTGACGTGAAGTAACATCGCGTATGTGTGAATTTTAAATTGGAAAATCTTTTCATATCTGCTAAACAATCGATGCTTGTACTCTAAAGCGGGAATACTTGTTTAAAATTAATCTTCAACTTCATTTTATAATTGTAATAAGTAGAATGGAGGATTACTGAACTTTATCATGGTTCAACATTTAAGAATATTTGATGATTAGGGGTGTTGTAAATGAGCATCTAATCTTGATGAAGGGTACGATTCATTGCTAGTGTTTCAAGAGTTCAACTTATTAGGTAGTACTGTAGTGGGTAACTATTACTGTATGACTGTTGATTACTATAATTATTATTATTTATTGATTATAAGAGTATATGTCATATATTGTTCCCCCAAAAATGACTAAATTGGTCCAGCCATAGCACCACCTTTGTATTCACAAGTCGCTATGGATGTGGAAATTAAAGATATTGACATCATATTAGGATGGAAGTGAATTCTAAAGGTTGTAAAGCAGAGAGCAGTGTTTAACCAGGGACTACTAGAAAAATGCTGGATGTCCTTCATCCTTTTGGATTACTCCTTGACGTCATAAGGTAATTTTTTAGCCATCTTATTGATCTTGTCAACTCGGATTTGTACTCACTAGTACATGATATGATACCTGCTCAGCTGCACTATGGTAAGAGCGTACACAGCGCGAACCGCTATGCTACTGACTCGCTTACTACTGTATCATGGGCTATTAAGTCAATATTGATCTATTTAGTAGTCCATGACTTTATCAATTCCCCGTTTTCCTCATAGAAGTTTCTGCCTGTACTAACAGAACACTACAATCTGCAATTTTTCCATGCATATGCAGATAATTCGATCAGGAATTACTAAAAAAAAGAAGGAAGAAATCGGAAAGCTAACGGCCATCAGTTTTAGAAAATAATAATTAATTATTATAATAATAATCCCTAATATAATATTAATATTTATTTTGAGGCTTGTCATTTTTCCGGTCATTCTACAGTACTACCGTACACTGTACTGTAGATATCAGTCGCCAGTACTGTAGTACAGTACTGTGTGCCGTTGCAGAAATACACGATATAGTAGAAATGACCAGTACTGTACCGTAGTCTGTACGTATAATAATCAGCCTACCAAGACTATTAAAAAATCATAAGTTAGTATTTGAATTTCAATCGCGGACAGTATAGTATGCCGTCACAGGAATATGATAATTTTGAAATGATGAGTGAAATCGTTAATCAACTTCCCAATTATTGGTGTAGCTAGTCGACAATCGTTGGTAGTCCCGTTTCTTTCTTTTTTTCAGTCGCTGGTTCGACCACCCCACCCTTTTACCTAATTACCGATTTCTGCATTGTTTGCATAGTGTCCACTGTATACTGTAGTGTCTCAATCAAGAACAAATATCGCTTCTAGACAGTATAGCATCAAAGAGAGTTCGCGCACCTCTATGCCCGATTGATCGTTATTATTATTATTATTATTAATAGAGTACTGCAAAGACGCTGGCGAAAATGATGTCCGAATATCATTAAAATACAAAATTTCGACATGCCATACTCTGCAGTATACAGTATACAGTGCAGCATGCCATATTTTATAATACGAAATCATCGGTATCTTACCAGGGACTACTGAATAAAAGAGGGAGGAGACAGGAAATGGCTTTTGATCGAAAAAATGTTACGTCGACATTTTTACTAGTCATTTGAACTACTGTACTGCAGTACTGTACAATACTACTGTACATTGTACCGTTTACAAGCACGCTCCAAAAGATAAAGTACAGTACAGTAGTGTACAGTCTACAGTGTGCAGTGCGGTACAGTACAGTACTATTGTTACTAGCCACCAAGAACGTTGGGTGGCTAACACTGCTCAGTAGACCTGAGAAAGGTTCGGTTCCGTTCAATACCTTTATGTTCTATACGCCTAAGTTATACTGTATACTGTAGATCATCACGGTTTGAGCCGGACCGAACCTTTCTCAGGTCTATGCCTAACACTGATGACGGTGTACTGACGGACGTGCTATGGACAAAACTAAAATGTTCCACTGAAAGTATAGAAATACAGTACAGTACAGTACAGTACAGTAACCGTCAATGTGCCCAGCTGGTGGCCGAGCCAGACCACAGACTGCTAGCTAGGTTCATTGTCATTCATGCTCCCCTAGGGAGAACCCTACTAATAATGAATTATAATGCAACAGTCTGTAACGCCATTGTCCCGTGGTACAGTTTAAAACGAGTAAATATAGCGTAAGTGATAAACGAAAATGTTGAATTTGCAGTTTAAATGTCCATGCTGTACACTACTGTCAAAGTACGTACTGTACATGAACCGCTGACTTTACAGTATAATAGTTTCAGTACTGTACCGAACAGTATGGTAATAGCCGAAAGTACTCTTGCTTTTCTGATGCAACTTGACGCAATACTGACTTCAAAGGTGGGACCATAGCCCATAGGGTCAGCTGATATACTGTACAGTACATACAGTGCAATGTACTGTACTACATGGTACGTACTGTACAGTAGGGTGCGGTACGATTGTCTCCAATCAAGCGGAAAAATGATACACTTTAGTACAGTACTGTACCCAGTGGACAGTATAAAGTGTACGCGTATATATTTGTACAGTATGAAACTTAAATTGCTCCGTTGTGAATTCGATTTTTCACTGCTTTGAAGTGGTCACTGTTAGCAAGAGTGCAGTCTACTTCTTCAAATCGACAGTATATTATCCATTGGCAAGAAGCTAGTTCCTCATTAATTTATCATCACTATCCTAATTAAGGCTATTTTGGTCATTGCTTGGAATTTTTTCACTGAATTGTGGTATGTATTGATCTACTGTATTTTACTGTGTATTTTCTTCCCAGTGATGCGCTTGTGTCATCAGTGAAAATGGAAAGACTATCGCTTGCTAGATGGATGCTCGCCCGTCTTTGAAAGTCTTTTTCCTTAAGTTGTTGACATGAATTGGCATTACTCTCTTCATTTTTTATACGATGTACAGTTGAGATTTTCCTTTTTGGAAGTTTTCCTTTTGGGGGATTGACTTTAAAGCTTATCAACTACGGTGACTACAATCATTGTAAATCCATTCCATGCATTAGTAATCAAGCATTCTGTCATGTTACAGAAGTGAAGCATTTTCAACGTGCGCGTACAATACTGTATGGCACCATTGGCATGATGTTGTTCGAATGATGCAATGACTGTTCAAGTGTCTATGGAGAAATTGCTATTCAAAATTTGAAAGTTTAAGCTTCGTCATCTCAGAAATTATTCTATCGATAAACCAATATTGTCTTACAAATAGAGCTTGCGCTAGTAGGCGATTTGAAATGTCTTGGTAGCTAAACTCATAAATCATCACTATATTCAGTCGCTCTAGGCAAGTCATTCCACTGTTGAATGTTGTGGTGCTTTTTTGACTCGTTGAGTAGCTCATACTAATTATTATTAAAGTCAGTTTTGAAAGACCCTGCGCTGGAAAGTGCTCCTTTCGCGACAAGGGTGTTGTATTGAGGAAGGAATACTTAGGCTAATAAACACTAAAGCAATATTGGCCAAAATATGCCTTTGAATAATGGATATTCTATCTTCCACTAACTTTTCTTTTCTTCGACGTGTGCTGAAGTCAAACCCATCGAATAGAGATTACAGATTATCTATCATAAGACATTGACTACCCATGGACTACTGGATGGTATACTGTGGAGAATAATAATAATGAATTATTATAGACGTAGTTGTTGACGTAAAATTACTGTCAAGAACTTAAATACAAGTAGCAAAGATTATTACTAAGAACGATTCCAATTGTATTGGTATTACTATATCATACAGTAAAGGTTTAGGGCATACGCGTATAGCCTTTCCTTTTATATTTTGCTTGTGATGTGTCTGCTTTTCTTGAATACGATTGCAAGGCCAGACTAAACTTCAACTACTGCATTGACGGTCATACGGTGTAATAACAAGTACGTAGATACTGTAGCATGAAAAACTTATACTGATAAATATAGTGAACGAATTACTGCTGGATGGTGCGTAAACAACGTACACCTTCGAGTCATCGTCGACAACGATAATTTACAGTATAAACGAAGAAGAATGACCGATTTAGTACTCAACAGTCAAATTAAATTCATACTCAAATTTATCTAGTGATACAGTAGTAGACCCTTCTTTCCTAACAAAATTATAGTCAAATTGGAGTAATTAATAATAACTGCAATTTCTCAACATAGACCTTATGCGGTAGAACTCTACCACAAAAGGAATGGATGATTATAATAAATATATAATCATCTCACTTATTCTCCCAGCTTAAAAAAAGCCATAAAGCTTTATCTATCTACAGTATAGTTCTGCACTGCAAAAGATCTACGTACAGTACAGCGGTGAGTACATTTACTTTGAATCTGATGGACTGATCCGCTCAAACACTTTCTTCGAGTTAAATCCGCGATCATCGTACACACTTTGTCGCTTACAGGTGTGAAAGTACTGTCTACTCTGTTTACCATTACAGCTACTAACTCAAAGAAGTTCGAATAACCGACAATGACAACTCTTTAGTCTTTACTATCTATACCATCATGCGCACTTTCGCAAGTTTTTTCTTCACTAATCTAGTGCAAAAACAATTTTACTCGTATACGAGTAAGTACTCAATCCTCTAAAATATTTAATTAAAAAGTGACCTCTAAGATTACGCATATACCCTACATCTGCCAACGTCGAACTTTTTTTTATTCGCTATCACTAAAAATAATTTCATACATTATCAGAAAGAATTGCATTTTCTATTTTACCGCAGGGCCCACTCGTATAAAAATTACGGTATACTAATTAATCGATATGTACCTATAATTACCCACTTTAAAAAGTAAAAAGTATTCGAGGATATCCACGATGAAAATGTTGTTAACTATTTACGGTACCTTAACAAATAAATTTTCAATTGCTAAAATACCCATGATAACTGTACGTATGTGCACCATTTGGTTCTGATACCCTTAATGGTAGAACTGACACGGATTGTTCTGCAATCGTGTTGATGTCAATCTTTTTAAATCTTTGATTTATGTAATGGGCGAACCATTTTTAACTTCTCCCAACCTAATCTAGCTATAAGTTAGTTTTTTCTTGAATTTTCATTATAGTAAGTTAGCTTGTACAGTATTACAACAGGTAAATTTCAACTAAAATACTTGTTAACATTACCAAATCCTTTAATAGATTGAACAGGGTAGGGTAACGCTTTCTAATGTAACGATGGCTCAGTATCTTTGCAAAATATTTCTTGTGACTTATAATATTCTATCTTAACGCCATCGCCTTGGTCAAATTTAAAATTTTAAATTATTTTAAGAATTAAAATTGCAGATTGTTATTTTGTTCTCTTCAAGTACAGTACTGCAAATATCGTTTAGCTTTGCGAATTGCATTATAATTGTTTATTTATTCGATTAATTAATTAACGACATTATTTACTTATAGTACTGTACTGTGTTGTACAGTATAATATACAGTATATTAGTGTACTGTACAGTATAGTACAGTACTGTCTAATAGTTCCGGTACAGTGATTATACGCGTACGCTATTGTACAAGTATCAGTATCAGACGTTAAGGGTCTTTAATGTTCAGTATCGCGCTATGAATTAAAAAGCGAAATACCGACGCAAGCAAGTTGCGTAGTTATCCGTAAGCTTCAGATTTGCTATAGTTTGCCCAAGAAAAATATCCTTAACCTACGGTATTTGTATAATTCTGTTTCGGTCATGTCTACAGTAGTAACTTGATTTCAAAGTTTGTAGGGAACAAATTTTTTTACTCGTAATATAGTAAAGTAATATAGTATGCTGAGTACATTGTGCTACGTGTACGTATTAATTAATACGCTTAAAAATCGCTGCGAGAGAAAGTATTTAACGAATGATTTACAACTATTACTATATATGCTATTGATTACTGAAATAATTTTCGGAGCTACCTTAAGCTCGATCGGTTATACAGTAATGTACTGTGAAATATCTCGCTATGTCAATGCCAAGTGCTCTATTACTCCTGTTATCCTAAAAGCTTTTCCCGTTCTTACTTTTGAGCGTAACTTTCACACAAGTAGCCATCTTCAATTATTAGGAAAACGACGTGCAACTTCTGAATTTTGAGTTTTTTTAAATTTACTAATATATATTGGATAAATGTAAGGGTAAATTTTGGTGTATAATAGCCCGAAAGAAATTACATCAATTTAATATTACATTTCCTTAATTTATGATTATCCCGTATAAGATATAGATTTAGCTGCTATGTGCTTCAGTGAATTACTATACAGCGCTTTAGCTCTTATTCTTTAACAGGAAAAAATAATATTTTTTCTCTAATATCATCGATATACTGCAAAATACTTGCAAAATCGCTCAGTGACCACTTACTACGCCAATTGTAACAAGTAGTCTAGTTGAATGCAGTAATTCTAAATTAAAAGCTTTACTATATTTTCTAACCACTGTTGTTATTCGTAGAAACAACGTACAAAAATGTCAGAAATTTTTTGTAGATATGAGTATAAGCGTGTGGCAATTACTGAAAACATTACAACAACAAATCAACTTTGATATTGTAACTGGCACTGTCACAGTCATCAACTGTTGCTATCGCTGGAAATTCTTATATACCGATAAGATTAATAATTTTTTAAACTGCATCATTTCTTTTATATTTTTAGGTACTGGAAGATTCGAGGGTTAAGTTGCGATAACTACATAACGTCAATATTATGGAAGTAGATCAAAAGTGCATATCAGCTGCTGACATCGATAATCGATTAACGCAATACTATAATGCAGACGAGAGGAAAAGGAATGTTGTTGATTTTAATCAACTATATGGGTATGTAAATAAAATCAAAGAATGATAAATAAATTAACAGTTATAAAGATATTGCACTTTTAAACCGACTGATGTGGAAGTCATGACCTTATGCTGTTATTCCTATCCTTTTTTAACCATTAATAATAACAGTTATAAGTCATGAATGTGGAATGTAATCTTTTAACAAATATATCTACCAGTATATGGTAGTTTGGGTAACGCAAGCAACGATGACGAGTATATAGCAATTAAGATTCGCAATATGTCTATTAGATGATATTTTGAGAAAGTTTAATTTACCTTTAGTGTGTGCACTTGATTCATGCTGACACAAAAACTTATTCTTATGTGGAGTCATGTCTGTGATACTCCTTTTGCAGTATTGCAGATCAAAAAAACGCGTTATATCTCTGATAGTTTATGCCTACAATATTACTATTACTATATCAGTTTTCTGAGGTGGCGTTGGACATATATGAAATGTTAAAAATCGGGTTACCTTTCTTTAATTTCTTTGCAGGAGTGTGTTCGTTAACCGAAATGTTAGCTTAGAGAAAATTCGCTACTTTGGTTTTGATATGGATTATACATTAGCCGTTTATAAATCCCCTATCTACGAGGAGTTAGGGTATAATATTTTAACCAAGCGACTAGTATCAATTGGTTATCCAAAGGTATGGATTGGCTAATATATTAAATGCATTGGAAATAACCTGTTCAACGTACAGTATTACTTTCTTTAGCAGCACAAACCGCATGAATTAAAAATGGTAACATACTATAGAAAGTAATTTATAAACTTTTAGGTGGTATGGCTATGCATGTATAGGATACTCATAAGTCTTTAACTCATCTCTAGTAAATATCGATAAAGCTTTATTTTTTATGAGTAGTAATCGTAGCAGAAAATATCAGCACAGTTTAGTCAAAATTGTTAAATAGAAATTAGCATGTTTGCTTGCCAGTGGGATTCTTTAGTAATCGTATCAATTTATATTTACTAATTAGGAATTGATAACCAATTACAAATACGACCCAACATTTCCAGTCAGGTAAAATATAATAAATGTTTGTGTAATTGTAATTTATGATTTATAATTTTACTTGCTTTAATGACAACTCAAGTGAAAGATGTGCAATATCAAGAAGCTTGTTTTATTTCTAAATATCTGATATCATGCCTTACCAGATCAAATAACACTACGGTATTGTACACACTTTTCAGAGGATTATTCTTCGACACCCTATACGGTAATCTTCTTAAAGTTGATGCCCATGGTAATATTATGACTTGTATACATGGTTTCCATGTTTATTCCAGGTATATACAAACTGTAAAGTATCCAAATTGTCGTCATTGATGGATGTACATATTACTGATAGCGTACGATACAGCCTCTAACAACTTATTTTTTCTCGTAATTTGCTTGATAGTCATAAAATTCGAGAATTTTACCCAAATAAATACGTCCTTCCAGGAGAAAAGCGCTTCTTCATTTTAAATACTCTATTTAACTTACCAGGTAATCTCATAATCCATATGCGCGAACCTTTTATACTATACTATTAATAACCATAATTAGTTGATCTTGTGGAAAGTATTATGACGTACTGTAGTAAAATATGTGATTATTTATCACTTATAATCAAGTATGAATAATTACCAAGAACGCGTACGTTGTAGGATGTTATAATTTTATTAGATTAGATTAGTGTTGACTTTGTAGTATTTTTTAGCGACGGTTTCCGTAGCTACTATAATATCTAAATAGGACATTGGTAACATTTTTTTACAATATTTCAGAGATTTATGTTTTAGCTGCCATTATTGACCTTTTCCACAAAATACCAGAGTATCAAAAGTCAGTCATTTAATTTATACATTTAAATCACTGTGAAATAATTGATCTTCATCTGGTCTTGCTAATATTAATATTGTGTGTTAATAAGGAAACCCACTGGAGTTGAGAGTAAATATCTTAGATTATCTTACAAAAGTATTCATCAAGATGTGCGCGAATCCGTTGACTGGATGCATAACAAAGTAGGTGTTTGACTTTATGCTTACGGAGTACTTCATTCCCTAAAGTATCGTTTAACATGATAACTAAAATAGGGAATCCTGAAACAAATTACTGCGGAAAATCCTGAGAAATATGTAGAAATGCAGGTACTTAAAATAATCATCCTGCGAAATTAGTTACATCTTAGATTGTGTATTCTAAGTTTAAGTAAATATATCTCAAGTTTATTATGTATTATTTATAGCCACATCTACCTGTTTTACTAAATCGCATGCGTGAATGCGGTAGAAAAACGTTTTTAATTACAAACAGTGAATATTGGTACACAGAAGTAAGTAATCAAATCATAACTAGTATTTGTATATTTTAATTAAACTGATTTAACAAATTTCAAGTTGGTTAATCATACTTTTATTAAAAACCTAGTCTATCATGAACTTTCTATTTGATACCGCTAATGCTGATAAGGTAAGATGGCCGTGAGTTGTTTTTGTATATTTTGTTAGTTGAATATCTAAAAATTACTACTTATCTATTCTACAGCCATGGAAAAACTACTTCGATTACATCGTTGTCGATGCCAAGAAACCAATTTTCTTCGAGGAAGGAACTGCAATGAGATGTGTCAATGAGGTAAGGATCAAAAATTGCTTTAAATTCTTGCGTTGCAATTTCTAAGTTTTACTGTATGACTAATATCAAATTTAGACAACGGGAGCTCTTCAGGTCGGGTCAGTTACATCCGCAGCTTTTGAAAAAAGGCATACTTATGCCGGAGGTAAATTGCGTATCATTTCAGTTACTTTCTTGTTGGTTTGCACTTCTTTAAATTAAATTTAAAAATGATATAATTTTTACAGGTTCCTCGGAAGTTTTCATGAAAATGGTTGGAGCGAAGGGCAAAGTAATGACACCTTTACACTTACGTACTTTAATTCTTTGACTGTTGAAATTTTTAACATATTCAGTGTATAAATATAAATTACTTTAGGATATTTTATACCTTGGTGATCATATTTTTGGGGACATACTGAAATCTAAACGAAGCTGTGGATGGCGGTACGATATTGTTAAAGGATATAAACTTCGTTCTAGTCCTTTATGAATGATTTTACTTATTTATTAGTAAATGCTTGTATCTACGAAAGAAAAAGTAATTATGACTGTCATTAACAATATATTAGGACCTTCTTAGTTGTGCCTGAAATCGATCGCGAAATGTTAGTTTGGTCCCAAAAAAATGGTTAGATAAGATTCATCCCACATGAATTGAGCGACAATATTTATTATTTAAATTTTGTTATATTTTACCTTCAATTCAGATATTTACTTGAAAATGAAGGGACTGGAACGTGTACTGGAAGATGTTTATAGGTATATGCGTATAATCGATTTATTCTTTTTGATGTTGCAAAATATGCATTAATGATTAAATCATGAATTATATACTTTTGCAGTGACTATGATTCAGCAAAGAACCCCCCTGACATTACCTGTTTACGAAAATATTTGGCTGTGAGTGTGATGTATTTATTACTATAAAGTCAGCGGTACTTTTCATGTGTCTGAAAGCATTTAACTTTTACTTTAGAATACTGTTGAAACTATGGACAGAGCTTATGGAAAACTCGGTAGTTTATTTCGAAGTGGTGAGCAGAATTGATGATTTCACTCTTTTCAATAATTGTCAAGTGTAATTCACTTCAGTATATCTTCAATTAGGTGCTAGACAGACGTTTTACGCATCACAAGCGATGCGGTTCGCGGATTTATATGCTTCATCCTTCATTAATATTATCAACTATTCACTGCATTTCCTATTTAGAGCTCCTCACCAGCTGGTTAGCAAATTTATTAGTGATACATTACTTTCTAGTACAATAAATGAGTTAAATTTTTTATATGAGGTATTCATTTTACATTGTGATAAAGCGCAGACTTGTTACTTTCAGATGCCTCATGAATCTGCTGTGCTAGATCCAACGGTGGCTGGATTCAGTGAATCAAGTCAAGCTACAGGACATAAATTCGTGTCTGCTCCTTCGACAGGGCGTGACTTTTTCTGCAGGGAATCAAATTCATTCAGCGTTCCTTTATCTGATTCTAAAGGCGTAGTTGAATGCGAAGATGAAGATGATAGCACCAGCGAAAATAACAGTGATTCTGAAAATCCTTCCCTTGAGAACTTGAATGAATCTACTGCTGCAGATAACGGAAAGGACGAAGCTTCAGGCTCCAATATTTATTATTAAGAATAATCTTGTGATGCTGATAGCTTTGCGTATCATCTGTCCTCTAATAAAAGAAATATTTATTACTGGATGACTACAGCTATATCGTAGGCGTTAGCGTTCGTCTCGGTTCTTGCAACTACAACTACTTCCGTACTAACTGGGGTAGTCCATTATATAACTTACGATCTTTGTTATATGTAATCGATAAACTTGAGCAGTTTCATTCATGCAAAATATACTTAATCGTCTTTAGACGTATTGTAACCGTAATGTGAAACTCATTATTGTATAACATATTTCACACAGCAGTAATAGTCTTGTACCTGAAACCAATATTTTGACTTTATTCACACTATTACAAGTAGTGAAGTACATGGTATCATGGGGACATACAGTATTTGTATTACTAAAGTTTTTGCTTTCGGGCGGATTTCGACGATTTTAGACACGTAACGAAAATGAATTAATTAATTCCCTTTCGTTATAATCAATTAAATTTAAGATGATTTTCTATCTTGAATCGACTGAGGTTCTCTTATAAAATTTTATTGGTAATACCTAAAAGTACATGAAAAGTCACCAGTTGTGATTTCTGATGTGTCCTCTATCATATCCTCTATGGATCTAGCATGCGAAAAGTACGCTTGAAGTGCGATTCTGTTTCTGTACTGTGGCCATATACTGATTTATCGTATTTTATAGTATTACATCTTGCATAATTTGTTATTCTAACTTAGAAAAAGTACGTGGTATATAACTATATAGTTGATACCCGTATAGCTACAGCTATATGTTATGTATTGTCTTTATGTTCGATTCAACATACATATATACGTATATATGCATGTACATGAGAATATATTATATATAACATTTTGCACCATCTATTTGGTTATCGTTAGCTTGTTCTGTAGATGATAAATTAATCTTGTGAATAAACTGCTTATTGTTGGAATAGGGTGCGAAAGTATTGAGTCCTATTTGTAATTACCTATATAAGTAAGTACAGTCACAAGGAGGTGGGTACTACTTTATAATGAAGCAGACTTCTTCATTCTGCCTATTATCAAAAGCTCCTAATGCATGTACTATGCTAATTTCTATATATACCAGCCTTCAATTGCGTGAGCTAGCCAATATACTGATTAACTACGACGTAAAGATACTTATAAATAATGTCTTACTATATTTTTGATTCCAATCTCGATTGTATTGTATTGTAACGTGTAACGATTTTTTGGTGATAATTTCTACTTTTGTTCATTTATATAATGTTTTAGCTGGTGATAGCAAACGAGTGGTATCAACATCAGTAGAGCAGAACTTTTCATTTTATACTAACTCAAACTTCAGTCGACTTAATCGCTACGTTTGCTACAATGAGCAGTTCTTATCAAAATCCACTGTAAATTAATATTTGCCATAGCCCAAGATTATGTAAGCACATCGTTGAAGAGAATATGCTTAGATAGGAATTATATGTATCCATCCGCGATTATCTCTATTTTATTTATTAATGATTCATCGTTGTTACTAAGCATATCCTGAGTTAAAACTATAATGATCAGTTCAGATAATGTAAAGAGCGTGTTAGAATGTTTTGCTATTATATTGAAGTTGAATACATTTAAATATCATGCTGTGATGAAATTTCTTGCAGTCATTACTGTCATCGTAAAATTCAATCTTAACACAAATTCTGTCGAAATTTGATGATATTACTTTTATTGAACAAGAGCAATTGAATAACATTTTAGATCGAGAAATTTTGCATTGTTAGTTGGATAGTATCAGTAGATTCGCTCTATTCTAAGACATTAAAAGCATTTATTTGACTCCAATCCGTTGATGATATTATTCATGAATATCCTTAATCGATATGATGATAAAAAATCTGAATTGTTTCTATCTGACGAATACCGCTAATCGATGTTAAATCAACAAAGTACGTATATTACCTTTACAATATTATTAATTAAATAACACCCATGGGTTTGTTGTATCTACGATGTTGGCAACTTCCTTTATGTCTCCAATTTACTGATAATAATCATTTTATACTTGCTGGCAACGCTGTTAATCAGGTTGGTAGTACATAAATCTTAATTGTTTATCATTAACTATGGCTATTATAAATATCGTCAAGTATGAAATTAGTCGATAGAGTTAATTCAACAATTGCAGTGATGATTGAATACTCTTGCTTTCATTATTAATAAAAGCGATTTTATATTGGAATAGACATTGAACTAATGAATTAATTATTATCCCATTTTGGTATACCTTGATCTATTTATTACATTTTCTGAATTCAATCTGAGAGCAATACGTTGAAATGAATAAGGAAAGAAATTTTAAATCCACAATGAAATTATTTTACCTCCGTTACGACGACAATAAATAACATAATAAAAAGGAGTGCAGAATTTCCTTCCAATGTATACTTAGATATAATGGAATAAATGAAATCAATTGAATTTGAATAATAAAATTGTAAATTTCAAAGCGAATCATCATTCAGTTTTAATGCCTTCATAGTGATCAATGATAATCTTAATAATTAATTCCATGTATAATTGATTGATCAAGATAACAAATACCGAATGATGAGAATAGACGGCTGTTATTTATTTACTTAACGGTCATCAATTGAAAGTGATCTGTTATACTCATATATAATATCTTTTTCAAGCTATTTTAAATAAATTCCTTGATCGAATCAACTACAAAACAAACCTTTTAATGTTCAAGGTGTTTATCATTAATCAAGCTAAAGCTAGGAAATGGATAGCATTCAATCTTTCTATGTTGATCTATCGTAAAGCGTTGGAATTTTTTCTTCAACTTATAAACCGCCCAAGGTAAAATTACCCTAATCAACAAATGAATTCAAAGCAAATAATGCTAATTTGTAAAGATAGCCGCCACAAAATAGATTACAGTGAAGTAGAAATGATTGTGAATTCATCCTTGAACAGCTCAAATGGACTATTCTTCTTTATCAGATATCGGAACGCATTACATGAGTATCTTTTAAAAATTTCCTTTCCCGTATTCATTATTGTCACACTCTTACGGTTGTTAAATTGAATCATCATCACCATTATATTTATAATTCAGAATATACCTTCAAGCGACGATAAAATCATGCTATTTTTATTATTATGCTATTGAGAATTTTGTAAGTTCTGTTCTGACGCGAAAAAGTTATTTACAAAGGAAGTAAACGCTCTGTCGAGTGATAGTGATGTCCTTCTAATTTCTCAATAAGTTATATTACTTATATTACTATTGATGGACGTTAGAAATATATATAAATAATGCCGTATGCATATATGATGATGGGTACCTTGCTCTTTTTCTTACCACTTTATTCTAGTTTCTACATCTTGCAACTGTTTCACCCAATATCATGCTATTAGAAAATTTTATAATAGCTTTTTATTATACTGTTTATATCACCATGTTAAACGATAAAGTAGATAAACTGTAAATAAATAAAATTCTCTCCGTAGATTATATTACAAGTATCAGTCCTCTAAAGATGCTAACGTCTTATTATTGCTACTATCGCTTTGGAATCATCGAACAAATCTTATACCTCAGTTTCATTTGATGGCTATTTTAAGTCTCCTATCCTAATGATAGCAGAACTATTAGTTAAGTTGTGCAAGAATAACTCAGACTTTGTCGCTTATTTTTCGTTGATGTTGTGATAGTACTAGTTACACTTTCGATAGAACTAGTAGGTTCCTTTGGCGATAGAGAAATTATTTTATATAGCTATTTAGTAATTTAGTTTTAATAGTTGTTTCGTAAGTGGGATTAGTGGTAATTTGAATTAGATACGAGTACGAACCGGTAGTAACTTGAAAATCAATACTAATAAATAGGAAAATAAATTATACTGATCAAATTGACGTAGGTAGATGTCCACTACATTGACTAACAGTCATTCATGAACATTAATTTATACTATAAGAGTTTAATTAAACAACATTTATAATACCAGGACGATATCAGTATCACTATCATCTCGTCTTTTTTCTAGCATATTTCGAGTTACTGTGATCACAAGGTAGCAGATTGTTCATTCCCAAATTTTGATATTTATTAGCTGAATCATCCGTTAAAGAAAGAAATGGAAGATGAGGCAAAATTACCACCAATATCCAATAACAGTAATCATCACAAATTGGAGGCCAGAATGAATCATAACCTTGAAAGACCATATACTCAGATACCACAGAAGGTAATTGGGATCGCAATATTCATTTTGCTCTCTAGGTTATTTAAAAATCAAACTTAAAAATCTTTCTATTTACCTAATATTGAATTATATAAAGTTGATTCGATAATATAACATGGACGATAATTTCTCTATGTTGTAAACGTAACAAATTTTTGATAATACCAAGAACATAATTTTTACTATTTCAATCATTTAGTTACATCTATGATAATTCTCCTAAGCGGATATTAAGTACTGATTGGACTGTTAATATTTCAGATAAAATTCTGTAACTTTAGATATCTAGTGCAATTCTAACTATAACAATTTCCTGACACAAAACAGTCAACTTATAATGAATTATTATCAAATTTCTACTACTTTGTTGATTTACTATAGTTAGTACAATTTCTTTCCCGTGGAAAATTTAATTTATTGATACTTTAACTGCACTATTATTATGAATAGAAATTCTACTACTTAATTACTTAGCTCCTACTATGCTTACTATTTTACGTGAAAATTTAATTTCATGATTAGATTGCCATCATGATGAATTGATGATTACTTGATTACTTAATCATAGCTATAATAATTACGTTGCTATAACGATACTTATTATTTTATATAGAAATTTAGTTTCATAATTAGATTACCGTTTCGATAAATTGACTATTACTTGATCACTTAATCGTTGCTACAATAATTATTTTGCGCGAAAATTTTAATCACACGATTAGTTTGCTATTATTAGGAACAGTTATTGATTACTTTGACTCTTAATCATAGCAAAACGATAACAGAAAATTAAGGCATGGAATACTTGAAAACGATTAGGCTTTCCTTAAGTAGCCCATCATGAACGCTCACAATTTGCTTGCCATCGTTTTGAATAATATTTTCACTCCTTTGGTCCTTTAATAATAGCTATGAAAAATATTTTAAATATTTTTACGCGCATATTTTACTACTTAGAACACTAATTTAATATACCTTGAATGCAATTAGATATCATTATAACATGTAGAATTTCTCTACGTATAGAACTTAAAATATAATTAGATTGCCGTGAAAAGGCAGAATTTTCTGTTCGTACTTTGACCGTTTGCTTAAAACAATGATAATTTACTAGCGTATAGTATTTTTATTAAATACGGTACTTTCATTATTTAATTGTAATTACAATAGTTCGAACTGCAATTATGCACGTAGTAATAAAATTTTGATTGTAAGTTTTGGCAACTAAGTTATCGTTATAGAAAGTTTTAGTACAGGAAACTTAATTTATAACTACACATGCTATTAGTATGAATAAGATTTCCATTGCACACTTTGAATACTTCATTATGGCCATAGTAAACTTCTTAACGCAGGAAATTTAACTTATGTTTAGATTGTTATTATTATAAGTAGGTTTATTTTGCATACATTAATCGTTTAATGATATCTATTATAATTTCCTTCCATAGTTCTTTAGTTTGATCACTCGTTGCAGTTGATAGTTATATAGCAAGGTATTATCGGCCTTAATTGGCTTTAAATTTTAGTCTATAGCTATGAAGAATTATTTAACAGTTTCCAGAGCGTAATAATAACCCGACAAAAAATGATTGAAAAGCAACCGTCAAGTATATTCTTTAATTTTAATTATAGATAAATATCTAAATCACGTGCATACGTATATAGAGTTAATAATGATACAGCATAAGGTATCAATAAGGATATTTTTTATATTCTATTGGTTTACTGATATCAAACCTCAATGACGTTATTGAAATTACAGAATATATAGCAATTTTATAATTTTAATGTCTGATTTGTTATTCCGTGAAATAATAAGTTTTGAGTTGAAAATAGCTCTCAAAAGAGCGTCACAATTAGTTCTACAATTTTGTAGACTAAATGGCGCCTGAAACTATAGTATAGAGTAACTAAGGATATGGTAATAAACTAATTTACCAACAAGATTTCATGATATGAAATAGATCGGCTAATGTTGCTCGTATAAATCAAAAGAACCATTATTTTTTATTATTTGCTTACAGGGGAATGGTAAGTCCTTGACTACAAGTCGCAGTAGCAGTAGTCTAGTGTTACCTATGGTAAATATCATTAGTAAAACAAAAAGACCAGCAAGCTATCACCATCTTAGTACGGAAAAAAATAATCGATTAACTGATGAAAAGGAGAATAAAGTTATAGATACTAGTCATGATAGATCCAACCTCAAATTAGCAAATATTGGACATGGCTATCTTCCCACCTTGATTGTAGAAGATCATCAACAATTAGATATCGGATGCATTGATCAAGCTGGATTCAAGTAAGCTTATAGAGGCAGTGTTATACTAGCTGTTAGAGAGATAGATTATTTCGCTGTAATGAGTCTCATCTATTCTTAACGTGATCCTTCTTTCCCTGCATAAATCGTATAAGAAATATGGTTAATTTGAGTGGAGCTATATCATATGCTAATACAATATTAATATAGCTGCAAAAGATAGCATTTGATGAAAATAGCTATCATAACTTCGCACCCGCGATTAAAATTCGTATATGAGTATAAATAATTCCTTGGCCTTTATAAATTTAATATGTCGTTAAATTCATGTTGCAATCTGCTAATATTTTTAAACGTATGGGTAAATATTCGTGGTTCCTCAGCCTTGGTATAATTAGCCCTTTATTTAAATTAATATTACGATTGCTTACCATGTTAAACTACGCGATAATTACCTTATATGACTTCTTAATCTATGGATGATATACTCATGCCGCATTGTTCCATTTAGTAGTGCAATCTTTAACTAAGTTAAAACATATATGATGAGTATAATTATGCAATTTCTCGGCCTATGTATATAGTGATACGTCATTCAAAGTAGCATGTTAATCTTGTACTTTATATCAAAATATACAAAGATAAATTCATACATGTAATTTCTCTGTCTCTATATATACAGAACATATCATCCAATTAGTTTGTAATACCGAGTTTTCTAAGTTATTTCTGTATTTATAGTCAATTTTTACTCATACTTATAGTGCAGACTTTAAATATCATCATTCTCTGTATCTTTCCCAGTCGTTGTTATGAACAAGGAAAAATCAATGGCGATTGGCAACCAATGATAAACTATTTTAAGACAACATTTGACTCTTTCTATCAACTTGCATCCACATTTCAATTAACTAAAGATTCGAAAGGATTGCACAGTAGCAGCAAACATCATGTACGTTATTACAGACAATGTAGCCTAGATCTTCTAGCACACTATCTGCAATGAAAATTTTTATATCAGCTCAGTATTGGCCATAGTAGCCTTTACGTAAAATAGGAGATATAATTTTAACATTATCTACATTAAAATGTATTGCGATTATGTCTTAAAAGAATGAAAGCTCAACGATTGGATCATTTGAGATCGACCTTCTATATGTTCGAACAGTTTATAATTCTCTTTCTTCAACTGTAAGTGAATCGGAAAAAGTTTTGATCTTGTTATGAACAATTAAAATAGTCACTCAGAATATTTACTAATCTGCTAATAAAATAATCATACTGCAATATTAGATAACAATTGTAGATCGCAATATCCGGTAAATAAATTATATAAATTGTCAATTATCATCTCAATCGAACTAAGGTAGTGATAGTTAGTTTTCTATGCCTCAGTAATATCTTAGAGATTCAAATTATATATAGTTAAATGTTGTCTGTTAGCAGTATATTATTTGAGAAAGAGAGAGCAAATCAGCTCGTAAATCTGCAAGGCTAAACAGTTGTAAAGTCACAATACTTCAAACACTTAATTTGCTATTAAAACTGGTAGTTCATCTAAAGAAATAATACACTGTTTCATAATTTTAAATATTTGACAAGTCTATCAAGGATGACGTGTGCTAAATAACTTATTACAAATAGAGAGATATTTTTATATATTATGATAATGAGAAAAAAAGGCGCCATAGAATATTAATTAGCTTATTTTGGAAATAGGTAAATACCTCAGCTTACTAATATGTTTAATCGTTTCTTTTAGCCCCGAAAAGTTAATAGAATAGTTCTCAAATGCATTACCAGTTTACTTATTAATCAAATCAAGAAGTAAGTTATAAATATAATTGCAATTGTAGCCATTCGATATCTGTATTTCGTTCTATAATTTATGTTTTGATTTACCTGTACGATAGAATTTTGCGTTCAGTTATATAATAATCTATGCCAGAATAAATGCAGAATTATCTAATATATCATATTTGATAATCTAGGGAACACACTGTTGATGAACTGAAAGCTTATTTGATTTTACTGTTGGTGAGCTCATTAATATAGCTGTAAATTATACCAAATTGATACACTATCATCTTATGTGCCGTAAATGAAAAACATTGTGCCAAAACCTGTCTTTTATCTGCTTAATGAATATTAAATAATTCGAAAATTCACGTTTACCACACTTGTTATATTCAATGACTGCATATAAAGTTAATGCTTCTTTTAGCTAAGACTTAAATTTTAGCATGGGATAATATCATTTTTTTACTGTTTATGCTTAAGTATAACATAGAATAAAAATTTCACTTTTTAATTCAGGTCTATTTATTTACAGGATCCTCAGTTCAGCCATTCATCTACCTATGTGGCTTTTGCTCATTTATTGCGTCAGATTGCCTTCCTATCTGATGTTAATCATCGAATTTTGGGGCAATGGATCGTAAAGTATGTTGAATTTAGTATACATTGATTAAAAATCACTAAGTCATTTTATTTTATGCCATAATATAATTGCTCTCAAAAGGATCGAACTCTTCGATCTCTGTTTTCATTCTCTTATAAATCATCTAAAACGTAATACACTAATATTTTGAACGGATACACGAAAAGAGTCGATGCTACAGTTTTCAGGGCGGTTATATCCAATATACATCAGGTAAATAATTGTATGAACTCCACGATTATCAATTCCGTGATTGTATTTCGGAAGTGAAATCATTCTACAGGAAATTTCCGCTATACATTGAATACGATCACAGCTATATTGACCTTCAGTTCTATTCAGATATTTCAATCGCACTTTTAAACCCGCCAAAGGGGTTATTTGATACGAATATTAGAGCAGATTAGATATTGATGTTGTTATGGTGAGCTTTTTAGTTATATTTAGGAAAGTCTGCCGTACAGTATCTAGAACGTTATTTTATTCGAAATTTGAGCAAGTTGCAGTGTGAATAGCAAAACTAAGATTCTTCAGCTATAGATTAACATATAGATGATACTTGCACTAAAAGTAATTATTATAGATGAATCGTACGATAAGCCACATTAATATTTTTAGCTAAAAGGTGGCCTTTTTCGAGCATGTTAAAATTACTGTAAGAAAGATCTTGGCGTATGAGATAGGGAATAGTCATAGTAAGATTTTCAGTTATATGAAAGTTATACTGTATCGATTATAGTAAAAAAACCATGATAGATAAAATCTTGCTGAGCCATAATAAATTTTCCAGTAGTACGAGCATTTATCTTTATATCGTACGGCAAGCACATGCATCTGCTATCATTATGATTAAAAGCAATCTTTCTAACAAGCTATTAATGAATAATATTAGTTTATATCCCTGCGGGTATTTCCTGATCAATCTAATCACCTGCCACCATCTAACGCAACATTGTGGTGGATTCCAGCAGCTGCTAAAGTCTTAGAAATTTTATGTAAGTAGCCGTGAAATTAATTGATTTCATCTCGCCTCTGTATCAGGTATAAACCTGTGACTTCGAATAATTTACTTTTATAATGATAACATGACTTGCACCTGCATATTCCTTTAAAAGATCTAAACAAGAAAAGATTTGTATAACGTTGAACTTTCGAGGTTCTAATAAAGGAAAAAGCTCGCAAAATAACAACTAGTTCTATATCCAATTTAGATAATTTAATGTTATTATTCATACTTACTCATTGCAGCCTCAATGTCCATTCTCTTATCGTAGATAAGGCCAACTATACATCGAAGTCGAATTTTCTTTCTTATGTAGAATTTTATAATAATACATTGGATCATATCAATTTAATGGCAGATTACTATCGATGGCAAAAGAAGTCAGACGGGTATGATAATTATCAGCACAGATAAATATCCTACGGTATATTAACCAGTTGCAACATGACGGATATTATCGTGCTTTTAGCAAGATCGGTTTAGATTAATACTTTAATATAGTATTATAATCAAATAGATCTGTATAAGCACACTGAAGATAAATTAATATTTATTACAGCTTTTGCTTTTGCCAATATCCGTTTTTACTAAGCCTTCGTGCTAAACAGATCATCATGCATCATGATTCCGAAAATCAAATGATTACAACAGCTAGGGTAATTAAAATCATTGCTGATTAACCACATGCTAATAATTTCTTAATTGACTTTAAAAATATTATATTCCTATTTCTGTGTATATGTACAAACCGAATTATGCTAAGAGTATAACTCATAAATTATATCGGAAGTTCCTGATTGAGCTTTATTCCGATAATGAAATTGCTTCCTTTTCAATCCATTCGATTTCTATCGGCAGTTTGATAATTACAACACAACTTTACCATACAACCCCAACTAATCGCCTAAATGCTTCATAGAAATTGATGCAAGTGCATATGTTTCCAAATATAATAAAGCTATAAAACAACATTGATAGTCGGGTTGATGTACGTATATTTAGTTTAAATTATGAAGATCTTAGGCTATCCTAATTATTCTAGTTCAATTTCAGGTGTATCTAGTATTCGTATTCTACACATTTAAGTCATAAAGTAACGTATGAAATAATTGATACCCCATAAACCGCTTAAGCCGGTTTATTGCTTTAATTAATTCAGTAGTCAAAATTCAAATTGCTAATCATGTGATCAGTGAAGAATTAATTTATTCTCTGTCCGTTCACAATTCAGCAATAGATGAATACGAAGGCTATTTTCTCAAGTTCTATTATACATCTAAACTTGCTGGCCTACATTGTAAATATGAAAAACGCTTCTTGTCCATTTTATTCTGGTGCCATGTGATTACTGGATAATTAATTTATTCTTATGCCTTATAATAACCCTCGGTTAAGACCAGAACTTTAATTTTTCCGGAAATATTATTTACACCTCGTATTACATTGCACTGAAGTTTACTCCAATCCAGTCAGCATTCTATTAAATCTTAAATAAATGATTCGTTTTTCATGGGCTTTAATTCATAGACCTCTTAATTACTGTTGATATCGATAGACTTTTGCTCATGCTAGTAGAAGATACCGTATTGGGTTGTCTCTTATCACAGCTACTGAATGATCCCATTTTTTCACATGTTATTTGCCATCATTGCCTTATCATATGTTAATCATCACGACCCGTGTATATGCTGCCAAAAGTGGACATTATAATTCTTTATTTACTATCATTTCTTAGGCCATGATTTAAAACTCTTTATTATGATCATCGGATAATTTATCTTTCATGTTACTTATTAATATTTTTCGATCTCTGACCGCCAGTAACTAATTTATATTTTTAGTACAGCATGGCATCCAGCAAATTATGAATATAAGATGATTTACAATATTTCTGCCCGTTGTTCACTAACATCTTCTGACTGTTAACTATCACCATAACATTTATACCTCTAGCAGGAGAACCTTCAATCTGATTTTGCTTTCTGATATCATATACGTAATATAGCAGCTACTATACGTATAGAAATACAGTTAACCAGTTAATCTAGCTTCATGAACTATACTTTCATATTTTCGTATATCTATAATTTTGACTAGATTAATCAAATACAGGCGTAAGAAAATTTCTAATAGCGTGATATACACATATTACTTACAGTTTCACTACTACTATGGCAAAAGTTCGTAAAGTAATAATGGTGAAAATCATCTTTTTCTATTTATAGCGCGATTTAATAGAAAGAGTCCGAGAGAATAAAGTGCCTAATACCAGTGCCATTTTTCTAAACCTAACTGTAAGACGTTCGCATATTGTCTCCGATTCACTTAATGAGGTAAAATGATTCTGTTAATCAGGTCGCTTTTGCCATATATTAGATGATTGGTGAATTTATTGTATTCAATTATTAGCAATCCAAAAATCTAATATTAAGTATCTACCTAAAGTTCTGTCAACATAGACACGTATTAATTTTCATTTGATCTCTTTCATTTCTCTTAATCATAGATTGCAAATAAACAGGATCAACTTAAAAAGAAGATTACAGTTACATTTATTGGTGAACCAGGGTTAGATATGGGAGGCCTGACTAAGGAATGGTTCCTTTTATTAATTCGACAAATATTTCGATCTGAATATGGTATAGCATAAACAGATGAATTTAGTTTTAGCAATAGAGTTAACAATTTGAATTTCAGGTATTCTTTTATTTAAAATGAGTTTGAATAAATAGTGCCATAATGAAGTGAGAATGATATTTAAACCTGATACCATAGATATTATGATGAAATAGTTGTAAAGTTACACAGTTGCAGGCTATCTGTGTAAAGTAATAGAGTTTAATATTTCTATTATTTATTGATAATGTAACTCAGTTATTAGTAATATGGGTAGTAATGGAGTATTATCGTAGTTTCTAGAAAAGCTGATTCTTATACACATGTCTATTGACTGAACTAAGAAAGATTAGTTTATTACAGATGGTGTTTTGATATTTAACTTGCAAGATAACTGACAGTTTAGCATTATAACTTTGACAGTAAGGAAATTAGTCAAGATAACGTAATATTATAGCTCCTAAAAGATCGGTATTTAAATCTAGTTTATAAGTAGTTACAGCAGGTTTAATTTTCTCGGAGTTTTAAAGTTTTTAATAAACTATATAGTCAATAGGAATTTTTATTGGCTGCAATACTTTCGAGTCGAACCAATCATCCTCTTTAGGCAAATAAGTTCTTAAATTAATTACTAATTACCTTTCTTTAAAGAGTTGCCTTGCATCGTTTTATCTATAGGCATGTTTTCTTATAACAAAATAACACAGAATTTCTGGTTCACCATGGGCCGATCAGGCAATTTAATGGAATATAACTTGATTGGTGTAGTATCCTTCTATCTTAATTTTCAACGTAGGGGTAGTTTTCAATCCATCAAATTAGATAATCTAGATTCGAGTCAATTATATTTCGTACTCATTTTTACTTGAATTATTTGCAGCGAATAGAACTATTGATATATTGCTTAACGCTTATAGAATATTGTAGAAATTACTTATTAAAGTAATGTTAGACTTCCTAAATCTATTAAAAACAACGCACTAATTATATATTATTCAATGAGTGATATTGAAAGCTATCTGTTAAGTATCTGAATTTTTTACTGTAATGCGATTTATAGCTGTATAAAATATTCTTCTATCTATATTACGTATTCTAATATTCCCAAAATGATAAGTTTATTAACTGCTTTAGAGTTAATCGGTATGTAAAATGAGCTTATGGCATTAGTTTTAACTTATGTTCATTTATGTGTGCATTACCGGCAAGGGTTACAAATATATTAGACTGCAAATCATCACAATATAAGATGGATTGATTATAATGCTTTAAGTTTATTGGATATCATCCCTAATTTCGTTCCGTCACTAATGGAGAGAAATACTGAAATACTAAATTATCGTATTATGTACTGTATATCCTTAACTCATCGTACATCTCTATAGTTAATGGGCTTAGCGGTCTATAACAGTATCGTTTTAGATATAAGATTTCCACGTCCATGCTATAAAAAATTATTAGCACTTCCTAGTGGACATTCTAATAGGCCTCAAACTCGCGTCGGAATGGCACATTTAAATCTAAATGACTTACAGCAAGTATTTCCGGTAAATTATAACTTGAATCTTATATTGAATATCAGATCTAATATTTACTTAAAAGTTATTGATATCACATGAATCAATCTTATCGGTAATATCAGTTAAAATGAATTTATAAATATCTTTAATAACATCTTTGCGATTAAAATTGGATACGTTATAAAGTCTACAAAATTAAAGTTAATCGATATGTATAGCTATGCATTAATTGGTATTCTATGCAGCATACTTAAGCGGATAATTTATGTCATAGATAAATGGCTTACTTCAGAACTGTACATCTACTTATTTTTGCAAATGATAAAGTTAGTTCATATTCTTATTGATCTTATAAAATTTCAATCAATGATAGGATCTAGCTCATGGATTGCAAGAACTTCTTGATTATAATGGCAATGTTGAAGAAGATTTTTGTTATACATTTCAAGTAAGTCAAAATCACCATTGTATACTGTAGATTCATGGGACTTGCTTTGACTAGATATAATTGTGCATAGTTCGATCAAGTAATGCTACAAGTTTATTGATAAATCCATTGCCTTAATAATTTAAGAAGTTATCTAGGACAGAGTTTGATCTGTTATTTGTCAGATAATTTCGGTCGAGAAACATCAATTCTTTGCTTTTAATTGGTTTACTTTCATGTAATTTATACGAGTATTACTTATATCCAAAAGAAGATCTAACTTCATTCGTTATTGAAAGCTTGTTTGAATTATATAATATATCTTCAGCCATTTACTTAATGGCTTTTATTGAGAAGTACGACATCGACTCTTTGCATGAAATTTCTTTATTTACTATACAATCTATAAGTTACTTCTTTACATCTGTTAAAAAATTGATTCCTTAATTTTGCATCCTCTTTTTGCTTTAATCTATGAAAATTTTTAAGCTTAAAATTATAATAAATAAATAAATAAATGAAGATCAATCCTGAAAGTAATGTACTTCTACATTATAAATTTTAGTTATCCTATCAATCTTTTGAGCGAGTCAATACACATATTCTGAAACCCAACGGAAATAAAATTCCAGTTACAAACAAAAATCGCTACGGTGAGTTCCGAGTTACACGTCAGAAGTAGGGCATCACTATTTTAACGACAGCAATAATATTGATTAGAAGGCATGAATTTTTAGCGATTCTATTTAATAAATTTGTTTTGATTTAATAAAGATATTGCTTATGGAATCCTAATTCTGTTTCATCACCTTGATTAGAATATGTTCAATTATACGTGGACTTTATGATGAATCGGATTATCTATCATCAGTTTTCTTCATTTTATCGTGGATTTCATACTGTCTGTACATCTAATTCATTAACGGTAAGTTTAAGAATCATCTCTTGATGACTGTCGTTAGTTTTAACTATAAAATAAGTTAGCAATGCTAATCTTATAGCTTACTTAGATTAAGTCCTTCTATTAATTTAGTTTATTTTTACTATTGATTCATAATCAGTACGTATTACGAGCCAATCATACTAACGTATAAACTGTTTACGACTAAAATGATGGACTGATTATACTTTACTTAGATTAGATTACGTCTAAAGCTAATAATTAATTTATCTACACATTTGTTTGTAATCGCATACGTAAAATTAGTTAACTTTATAAACTGAAGATATATAATCAATTAATCTTACTGTTACTAGTTTCTTAAAGCTGAAGAACTTGAAATATTAATTTGTGGTTATCCAAATTTTGATATAACCGAGCTTATGGCCATTACACAATACGAAGGGTACACAAAAGATAATCGTGTTATTAAGTATGTAAAGAATTACTCCCGCTAACTTGATTAGGATTCATACTTATTCCTAAAATAATTGAAAGCATGTTGTAAATCTATAAGCCAACAATCCAGTGAATAACCTATAGAATATTTTATACTGTAATCGCCAATGATATAGGAATTTCTGGGATGTAGCTTTACAATTATCTAAAAATAAACAGAGGCAGCTTCTTTCTTTCGTTACTGGGAGTGATCGTATTCCAGTTGGAGGCATTACAGAGATGAATTTTAAAATTCTCTATGTTGAAAATACAGACTAGTAAGTGCAATAGAATACAATAATGTATGTATGCAATTATTTAATGACCTATATATTAACGAAATAGATAATATTTAAATATCTGACGTAGTATAAATAAATACTTAAATGTTTGTTGTCACAATTTAGTTTGATAAACTATTTTGATTGGTGGCTAATATAAAATTGCTTATTTTGAATTGATTTGGTATTTATTGACTTTTGAAAATTCTTTCAGCCTCCCAACATCACAAACATGCTTCAATCAGTTATGTCTACCACCTTACAAGAGTAAACATATCTTGAAGAAGAAATTACTAATTGCCTTAGCTAACTCGAAGGGATTTGGATTAGAATGAATAGTATGCAATATTCAATGCTAGCTATGTTTTGCCAAAAAAGTATACTCAATTTTTATACCAATAGTGACTCTCTTTCATGTTATGCCAATGTAATAAAGAGCATTTTTATATGCAGTATGAATTTAATCTTAGAGATTTATACTCTAGCAATTGGCTACCGTTGTATCCTCAAGCATATCTTTCATTTTTTATGATTGTACCTTCGTAATGTTCATTAACTTATTTTGAAGTATAAACTCTTGAGTAAAGTTTTCAATTCAAGAGGGTTCCTTAGTTATATATCTTATCTCACTTGATATAATTACTTTCATCAGACATTACTTCTAAATTAATAATTTAACAACAGTTATACTATATCATGCAATTATAATCTTTTAGAGGTAATAAATTTTATCTTCAACTAGCAGAAATACGCACTTGACCCATTGACTCAGGAATGGAAAATTGATGTACTTTAATCTAATTCGAAATCGCTAAAAATTTTTCTTGGTAGGAATTTAAGTCAAAAAGCTAAAGTGCTCCAATAAGAACAATTAAATGTTATCTTGATTAGAAATATCTGGACATTTATTGTTACAATTACATAAGATAATGCATATAAATATTTATTGCTACCATTGTATAAGATATCCGATCAAGAACAACTTTATGCAATATTACTTAAAAATATTCGAAACTTTATTTGCTAATCTTTCGCCTAAAATTACATGAGATACTCGATCAAGAAAAATTTGATACAATATTGCTTAAAAATATTCGAAACTTTATTCGCTAATCTTTTGCCAGAAATATTTATAACATAAATGGAAGTGATAGTTTTACCCTCTAAAGATTGATCTATAGCAATGCTCAATTTTTTAAAGCCTCCCCTACAATGTACATATGTATGCGTACGTCGCATTGATTATAGAAATGTTTGTACGATTGTCATAACAATCTTTCCGATGCTGAAAGACTAAAAACGTTAGAGACTCACTGTCATAGTAGACTATTAAAATTCAGCTATGATCAATCAACCGTTCAATTGGGTGAGTTAAAACAATACAATTCTACTATTGCTAAATTATATATACAATATTATTAACAGTTTACACTGTAATCATAAAGCATTTTTCAGTATAATTAGAATGATATAACTTAATTGAGGCTGATATCATATTAATAGTGTGTCGCACTTAAAGGCGGTGAGATCTGAAAAATTGTAATATGCATCGATAACTGGTTATTGCTCCGTATCATAGTTATCAATGCCATAACAAGATAAAATTAATGTAATAGATTATTTCGTTTTCATCATATACTCTTCGTCGATAATATCGTTCATGTATAGAAAAGAAGAGATTTTCAAGTAATTAAATAGCTAATCTTATTGGTAATACCCCCCAAAGAGTCATTACCACCATGTGATAAGAACTTTACTTGGTGGGTAATAATGCAATTCAACTGTTATAGTTGTTTAATATTACCCAAAATAAGAGAAAGGTAAAATCTAAACTGTAATTCTTATGAATGAGAGAGACGGTTATTAATCTTGCTTGATACAATTAGTATCTGGTAATTTCAGTATAATTCATAGCTAGTATGACAGAATGTAAGTATTCGGTTAAGATAGTTCACTTGGATCATTAAGGCATTCTAGGTTCGTTCCAATTTATGCGATGTATAAGACATAAAGTAAAACTTAATTTAATAGATGTAAATACTAATTCTTGACAATTGCTATCAACTTGATTTCTACCAACTATTTAAAACAATGATTCCTTTTTTGATGCTTGAGACACAAGCAAGAAATGCTTAAAGAATTCATATACCGACCAACATATTGCAGTTGATGGCATCTGAAATACAATTCGAGCTTTAATTCCCTGAAAATAACCAGCGATACCGCGCATAGAGTAGATAGTTTTTAATGCACCATAGATACCAGTAACATATCGCCTATTTGAAGTCAATTTAAGTGCACTTTTTTCTTGTGTATTTAGTAGTGTTTTAGCAACGTCTAAAGGTGTAGTTAAAGAAGCAGCAAAAGCGCCAGCAGCAGCTCCAGCGATGACATGAGTTTTAGGATCATAAGTACGAGCAGGGTTTAACGTTTCACGCAAGTACTCATAAACCAAGAAATGCGAACATTGGAATGGTATATTCATTAATAGTTGGGTAGTATAGCTTCTATAAAAGGCCTTAACACCTTCAGATTTATAAACCTCTTTTATACAGTGGATGGCGCCTCTATATGGGCTTTTATATATTTGTAAACGTTGTTTAACAGCTGTAAATTGAGAAAGGGAAAGCTTTAGCTTGGTCAGTTCCAGTTACAGTTAATCCAATACAATGGAAAATTTGAAATGCTAGTTGTAGAACATACCGTCAACTGGGGTCATGGCTGCATCATGGATAGCTGTGGCAGTAACTGCCGCAGTAGCTACAAATATTACAACAACAAATATACAATTAGTAAACTACAGTACGGTAGTTCATATCATCATACGATACATTTGCGTATGTGTTCTACCAATATTGTGTAAAAAGTCATAAAAAATGGTACCGTTAGCTACAGGATGATGGCCTGGTTCTTTACCGCCTAAAGACTGACGAACGGACTCATAACAGGAAAAGTATAAAGCATGTGCAGGTGCAGCACCACATATAACAACATTCATGCCTCGAAAGACAGTAAATCTGCCTTCGTTAATTGCTATACTTCGGAAACCATCGTAAATCCCCTTATATACCGCATTTGGATTAGGCTTGAGGCTTTGCATTCTTGTCTATGTATTTAATTTGAATAATACATAAAATTCAAAGATAAGATACGATAGTCGTCAGTGTTACTAGTACTGTAGTGTGCAGGCAAAAGATCTTGAAAAATTAATACACTATCAATTTGATAAGGTTCAACATTGATTATTAATGCTACAGTATTGGGTTTAGTAGGCTAACGTCCGGAAGAGAGTGAATATTATTCATGCTTGTAGTACCGTATAGTCAATTCATAATCCAATAAAACAGTATCAACAGTAACTATTATGTTTGTGCTATGGATGAAAAGAAGTAGGTATCACCACATCTAATGCTTTGAAATGAGTATTCTAGCTTCATTACTTTGCTAAAGTATTATCACGGACTACTAAGAGAAAGAGAAACCTTGTACCTTTAACGTATACAAAAAAAAATGGATCCATCCCCCAAATTTGTTGCTACCTATAACAGGATAAAGGCCGTACTAGCAATAGCATGCGATTGTAGGCACCCCCCCGAGTACAGTCAATATACACGTATAAACGATTAACAGTTGTATACTGGTACCGTATTCTGTGACACACGAGAATCAATTTTCCATCTGTAGCGCCCGCCATAGTATGATTATAAAATTAATTAAACTAAACCAACTCTCCATTAAATGCCTTAACTTGAAAGTATTATCAAAGCGAGAAATTGCTAAAGTTGCTATTTGGTACCTTAACACAGTCCACTGGGTACATGACGCAATGTTCGAGTACACCTGCAGCAGCGCCAGCCATCATATGAACTCCTACATCGTGTGTTGGCAAATTTTCATAATCGTCAAATTCCATGTTCTTGACTTCAATTTGACCAGCTGTATTTTCAAAAGCCTGCAAAGACAGTATCACATACGTTGTAACATAGTTTCAATTGGATTGCAATGGAATTGTATGTGATCAAAGCATGGCATATTTTATGGCTAGGCTAGCATGACACGATAGGTGCCCCCCCCCCCTTCTTTCCACGATGATTCAAAATGGGGCATCAATATGATGAACAGTGATCGGATTTGGCTCAATAGGTTATCCTTGCAGTCGACTAATTGAACTGAACCACAAGGCTATAAAGTCCAGCAATAAATAAGTTATGATACTATCGACAAGTTTTTGTATATACCTAACAGTCTGCTGCATGGTGCGGTATTCTATCGTCCATCTGCACTGACTGACTGTATTGTGCTCAGTACAGTGACAGTAATGCTATACTAGTGCACTTGTTTTGAGTTAGCTAAAATGCGTTTAAAATAGCGCGGCTGTGCCCTATGCAGTGAAGCCATTACTGCAATAGGCAAAGCTAGCATCAACTGTTACGATATTCGTTATCCTTTTTTCAATTGCTATAGACATTAGCTGGTGAAATTGTACACTTTGAATTGGCAAGTTTAAATGAAGCCAGTAGGTACTTGTCTTCAACCATTCACTGAATATACTACTGAAGTAGCGATGATAAAAAAATGACTACGGCTGATGGCTTACCGTACTGCAATAGAGCAAAGGATAGAGTAGCGTCAAGAAGCCCTGTCAGCAGCTAACACTATACCATACAACATGGGCGGAAATACAGTGAGCATAGTGGATGCATACGTCTCATCTTGACCGTCATAAACTAAGCGATGATTTTAAGTGTTGCAATATTGACCATCAAGGATGTTTCGGTAAGTAAGTGACTGTCAATTGTGGAGACATTTTGGAGGAATGGATGAGAAAAAATTTTCAATGCCATGTACTCGTACCTCCGATAGTACAATATTACACAACGTCAATGGAAACTTACCATTTACCATGTGTCAAAGCGGTAGCCAATACAGCATCGATAACGTTCAAAGCTTAATTTTCAATTTGATGAAGGTTTTAGGGATTGATGATGCAGTTTTGATGCCTTTGCTACCGTTTAACGAGGCTTAGCCAACATGCCCCAAACGTTCTTCCTGTTTGCTGCTGCTGCTGTTGCTGCTAATATTTCAACACCACACACAACGGCCAGTGAATCTATTCAACCGTGCGGTGCAGTTCACGACAGCGGCGACAATACAAGTACAGTACGGCCGTAGGGTAGATTGGTTAGGGGGCTGGCGCTGCCAACCAACATGACTGATAGCTGCTGATTGCATACAATTGGTCCCGTACTGGACCAGTACGGGACCAAACTATCGGCACCATTCTACTCTTGTTAAGGAGGGACGGTGGGCGGGACGGTCGGGCGGGACGGTTCGGTACGGTTCGGTACAGTTACAATATGTTGTCTTCACCTCTGATATGACCTACCAGTAGCTGGCCTAACCAGTACATGACTAGTTTATACTGTACCTAGTGGTTTTGGCTGAGAGGCTCCAATACCAGCTCCTGTACTGTACTGTTTGCCAACGCCACCGCCCGCTTGTCCTCGTGACCCTCGCCGTACTGTAGGAGTGCAAATATCATGCATGACAAGGCTGACTTATCTCAACAATATACGTACAAGGCTGGACGGTAGAAGTTCTTTTCACTTCTATCGCTTCGATCTTGATCATACTAGCCGACTTTTCCACACCTCTACAGTCAATTTCCCTTTCCAATGCTGTAATTTGTTGCCGAAAGTCATATTTTACCATACTGGATGTACAGTAGTATTGGATCTTGCATCATACCCTGACAGTTCAGAACTTTTACAGTACAGTACAGTCTACAGTACTGTACTATGTACTGTAGACTGTACTGTACAATGTACAGTGTACAGTACTGTACAATGTACAGTGTACAGTACTGTACATCAGCCAAGCTAAATCAGTCTACTGTACTCCACTAACGCGGCCAACTGTAAGGCTTAGCTACTGACAGTATCATATCGTCCAGTAAGCAATATCAATGTTATACTGTGTAACTTCTACTCAATTTCCCTTTCCAATGCTGCAATTTGTTGCCGAAAGTCATATTTTGCTATACTGTACTGTACTGAATGTAGTATTGGATCTTGCATTATACTGTACTGTAACAGTTCAGAACTTTACAGTACGTACAGTACAGTACAGTCTACAGTACCGTACTATGTACTGTACTGTACATCAGCCAAGCTAACTCAGTCTACAGTACAGTACAGTACTCGACTAACGCGGCCAACTTAGGGCTTAGCTACTGACAGTATCATATCGTCTACAGTACAGTACAGTACTGTACTGTACAGTGTACAGTGTACAGTGTTCATAAGCCAAGCTGACTCAGTCTACTCGACTAACGCGGCCAATCTAGGGCTTAGCTACTGACAGTATCATATCGTCCAGTAAGCAATATCAATGTTATACTGTGTAACCTCTACTCAATTTCCCTTTCCAATGCTGTAATTTGTTGCCGAAAGTCATATTTTACTATACTGAATGTAGTATTGGATCTTGCATTATACTGTAACAGTTCAGAACTTTTACAGTACAGTACAGTCTACAGTACCGTACTATGTACTGTACACTGTACATCAGCCAAGCTAACTCAGTCTACTCGACTAACGCGGCCAATCTAAGGCTTCGCTATTGACAGTATCATATCGTTCAGTAAGAAATATCAATGTTATACTGTGTAATACAGTACAACCACCGCTACAGTACAGTATTACGTCATGACACGTTATTGTTAACGGTTAGTTTCCTGTTCAAAGTTTTCCTAGATAGCTTAATTTACCCCCGTCGCTGTGCTAACGTTTAAACACTTTTAAAAGTACTATCTAAAATGATAATGTAGCAATCGCTTCCGTGTTTGGTATTCTTGCATGAACTGTAATATAGGCTGTAACTAGTGTTCGCTTCCCACTTGATTCTGGCTTGAATTGAATGTTAGACTCTGTCATCATTGAGTACTAATGCTAAGAAAACGATGTTCAGTACTCTATTGACTGGAGTATATACGAATAATGAGGACTAAACCGATATCCCCGGCACCAAGAATGCTACAGATCAATTACTCTTTGCTAACGACCCTTGCATCAATAGTCATCCATTACGAATAGATACACTAAAATGTCATATGCTTTACCGTAAAAACCGAATAGTCGATTGTTAACGCGTAATATTAGCTACAAATTAAATTAAATGAATTCATGAATTCAATGAAATCATTCACATTTCAAGGCCTATTGCGCATAGCCAGAAATGCCAAACTTTATTTCAGATATACAACACAAAATAATCATTGCTATCTCATTCATTAAACAACTATTCTACTCTGTATCATAGAGATCAAAGAAAATCTACTCTTACAGCGTTCTCCTTGGGCTCGCTAAGTAGAGATAAATTTTACTAAATAACAGTTGTTATTTTTTGCATTTACACATACATATACAGTATATATGTACTAACTGTAAATAAAGACATTTTGTCATCCAAATACGTAATTGAAAATCTGACTTAAAATAAATTAGATTGAAGACATACTACTGTAAATAACTTGCATTAATAAAATAATAAATTCAGCTAAGTTGATACCATTTCAATTTCAGCAACTGTGATAGATGGGCCTACTCCACCAATAGCCATATAATCTCCCATAATATCGATTGTTTGTATTGGCCTTCTGTCGTTATCTATATTTCCTAGCAACTGTTACATTCATATACGAATAATAGCAGGTTAGAACAGGCTGTGCAATCATTACTTGCATTATTATTAACCTTGGCAAAGTTAAAGGTTATAAGGTATAAAATTCTACGAGCATAACGTAGTTGCTACTAGAAGCCAGGCTATACAGTATAATATACCGCCTAGTCAGTTATACAGATATGCATAATCATGCGTACAGTTCGAACGTTGGCTGACGCAGAGTAAGCGATTATACTAGTACTGTAAGTCTCACATATTGTAAAACTGAACTAAGGAAATATCGATGCAAATATCATACCTCGCCTTTATTAATATCTACAAGTCTGACATCGCAAGTTCCACTTCCACCAGCCACAACGCATTGTTTGGTTAAATATTTTGCACAGTATAAATAATCGGTTTTCAACTCTCCTTTAGTACCAAACGGGACGGTATCGATCATCTCTCCGCTTGTTAAGTCATAGATCTAGAAGAGTCAATAGGAAATCATTGTCAGTTTCGATATATCCAAACTGTTGAATCACACTATTATTATCCACTCTAATTCAAGTCAAGAAGGCTAAAATATGTTGCATAGAGTGAAGATCTTGTAATTTACTAAGCCTTCCATTATAAATAAGCTAAATTTTACACCTGTAGAGAATTGGTTGCTACCCAAGATGCAGTTAAAACATAGTTATCAATTAAATCAATGCCTTGCCCACAAATGTAAGGACCATTAATAGTTCGTACAGCCCGATTGCCAACTCGGATATCCCATACTTTTAGAAATTTATCCCACCCTCCTGAAACCAAGACGTTATTATTTTCTGGGTGAAATTTAAGCGCGAATATTCGTCTACCGTGGCCAACTTCATCTGACGGCCTAGGAAAAATAATCCAGATTACATTGAAATAATATTATTCATTCAATAAGTATATAATTTAAAATAAATTTGGCAAGCCTTTTAAATCGCTTGAATGATTAATTATCGACATACGTAGATAAACCCTCTGATAAATCCTTGCCATGGCAGGTAACAAAACATTCGTGTGTACTAAAATCGTAAACTCGTATATCGGTATCCTAGAGTAAAAGCCATAATAGTTATTCATCACATAGTTGAAGATTGATGCATAAAACTCTCTCAAGTACATATAATAAGATTCAAACTGGTTCTATTTTCTTCTTGTCTGCTTATATTTAAAATTTAGCAATTTAAGACATGGTAATCCATTTTTTGCGTAACATTGGTTGTACAGGTGCAAGATAAACGTCATGAATACCATATTTACAAACAAGAATAGTGAAGTCGTAGGCTATAAAAGATAACATGGCCTATAGGTTATACCGTACCCCACTTATGCATACAGTTAATCCGATATTTTTACCATTAAAAGAGATGTTATCGAGTTATATAAAAACTGTCAAACTGTGAGTACCTTTCCTGCTGTAGCATAAATACCACCGCTGGTGTTAATATCTACAGCATTAATAACATTCTTTTCTTCACAAAAACTATATACACATTCACATGTATCTACGTTCCAAAGGCAAATGTATCCGTCTGATCCTAGAAAATTGTAAGAATTATACGTTCAATTGATTTATTTTCGTACAATCCTATAAATTTAATCTTAAACTAATTTGGAGCTGTACTACAGAAATTAATGGGAATAAAAAAAATTAATCAAGTAAACATGCATTTATATTTTCCTATATTGAAGATTTAAATGATTTCTAAGTTGGGATTTGGAAACAAGTATAAGAATAAATGATGGCTCGATAATAAATTCTGTTATCTTTATAATTTGTATATTTTATAGAATTACCAACAGCCAAGACAAGATTGGTATTCTTGGGATTTGCTCGTAAGCTAGTAATTGGCAGATTCGATCTTAGATCACGCTTTAATGTTGCTAAAGGCTTCAGGTTATTGGTTGCATGAATCTAAATAAAGTAACGGCAGTAATATTTCAATACATCAATTTAAAATAGCCTATAATAAATAGAAAGTAGTCAGTAGCTACATTCTCCTAATGGCCATTTATTACATTTAAAATTTAATCTGTAGATAACCTCAATAGTTCCCTTTCCAGTAGCCGACATAAGTATCGACCCATCGGATGAAAACATGGTACTAAAGATACCATGGCAGTTAGGTACGACTGTACGTTGAATATCTTTAATTTGAACTGATCTAAAGGGAGAAATCCGGAAATGACATAGATTATAATTCTATTTGGCAGTATTATATACAAACTAAGATTACAATCAGTGTAGACTTTAGTAAATTACTCGCTAAAGAATGACCATACTAAAAATATTAATTTAATGAAACAAAAAAATAAAAGCTGTGCTAGAAAAGTTCAAATAGGAAATAGACGAAAGAAGATTAGCCAGAATAATGACTAAGACTATGTATACGGCATGCTTATGTCGTACGTCTAGTTTAGTACCATGGTGAAACTTATAATTATTTATTGCTCGTAACTATTTGAAACGTCTATCCTTTAGCTTATCTTTTTTCTATTTGCAATATTATAGTAAGAAGATAAAAGGCCTATAATTTGTCGGTACCATATTTATTGATACTGCAATGAAAGGTACGCTTATTAACTTGAATCGTTAATTGGATAAACAAATCAATATCCTTGGACTTACCCTAAAATTTTACCAGCCTCTAATGCACTTGCCAATCTTCTTTTGGCCATAATAATATGTATTAATTACGGAGGCAAAATTAATTTTGGGATCTTGAATGAAAGAAATTTAAAATTTGTACTTTCTGTTAGGTAGGTAGCTCTTGTATTCGTTACAATTTACCAAGGTTGCAATTCACTGGTGACAAGATGTAAAAAATTGTTCTTGATAGAGTAATCGAATTGGTTATGTTATTGGTAGGCAATAATAGACGTTAACTCTTCAATTTCAATATTCGTGTACTTTCCAATGATAGTTTAAATATAAAATCGTTTAAGATTAAGAAGACTATGTTTAAAATATCAATTGTAGCATCAAGCTTTCAACAATTTTCCTAATAGCGATTAATGATTCCTGTCTGTAATATATCAACTTTCTACGTATGCTCAACTGAACCTTTCGTCATATCCTATTGAAAAATGAAGTATCTTGACTATAAAGTGAAAGCTAATTTATAATCTTTATCAAGCGAAAGTATCAAGGCTAATAACTGCAATGAAACGAGCAAATGATCTGAAAAGCATCGTAATAGGAATATTCCTTCCAATTCATCAAGGACAATAATGATACTATCCAATCCAATCAAACCTGATTACCTTGGCTCAATTTACCTTAAGTAAGATGTTGGGTTATTGAGTGAAAATCAAATTTCTTCCCTTGCGCTATTAATTAATAGCCAGAAAGAATGATTGACTAAAATAAATGATTAGTCATACCAACGATTAATCATGCCCACTCACCGGAGCAATTACTCAAAGTGATTGTGCGTGATGACAATAAATACTATCGCTGCACGATAGATGTGTCTAACCACCGGTATAACCCGTGAATGGAGAGCGATACATCAATGTTTTATCCTTAGACCATTGGCTCTATCAACACACGTCATGTAATTAATTGTTGGTGCTGTATGCAAATCAATATAAATCTATTGTTTAATTCTCTGCCTTACTCCTATAAGGGAGCCGTAGATGGTAGACAATATAGCGGGTTGCCATACACAGCAAGATTTCTGTATGGCAATATTACTTGTGAACAATTGTTTCTTCTCACCAATTGATTGATCGATGAAGATGATTTTAAACTACACAGTAAGATTTTAGTATGGCAATATCACTTGTGAACAAGACTGTTTCTTCTCGCCAATTGATTGATCGATGAAGATGATTTTAAACTACACAGCAAGATTTCGGTAAGGCAATATCACTTGTGAACAAGACTGTTTCTTCTCACCAAATTGATTGATCGATGAAGATGATTTTAAACTACTTCTATGCCATTTATGGAATCTTGCAGATTTTAATAGAATTAGGATTGAAAAATGTCCTGATCGAGATTGAGATTGTCAACAAAATGAGGTTACTGTGCTATCTACAGAATGATTATTTTGATGCAATAAACAACTTAAAACTACTCTCTTCTAAATTTCAATGCTGCAGGTATGAAATAGAAGGCTGCCAATGTTATCTGAAGTAAAAAGCATCTTTGTAATGATTAATGTACCATAAATCTTGGCATCTAGATAATGACGAGTTCTATAGGGTTGGGTTAAGTTTTACTGCATAGTATAACTTTCTTAAAAATAGACTTGACTTACGCTTAGGTAGAATAAAAATTAAGGCGATGTAATTTACTCATTTTGGAATCTGGATGTTATAGATCAGTGATATGATATTATTGAATATTAGATGTAATTTTTATCTTTAGGATATTGATATTGTTATGCTACTGTGGCCATTGTTATTATTATAAGGGGTAAAAGCGATTTACAGACAGTGGACAGTGTTTTTTTTGTTAATGTATGAAACGTTCTATTAATTCTTTAACATTTTACCTAGTAATAAAATTTTCTTATATTTAAGTACCAAAATCCGGTAAAGTTTTTTGATATCATAACATGATTTATTGCACAAAGATTTCATTTGTTATGCGATATAGACTTTAGGCTGTTGTTTGTATCTATTTGTCGTCTAGCTTTTAACGGAAATAAAATTAACGCAAAAGTATTTATTGTCCCATTATATAAATAATAGCAACAGAAAAATCTTGTTAAGGTATTGGTTGTTGTAATTAAAGTAACTGTACTGAACTTTGTAGGTGCATGGATACAAATGTAATATACAGAATCTAAAGTTATTTTATTATTACTGTAGTTTGCTATAATTTATTCACGCGACAAACCTTCTCTATCTGAATGATTTTTGCAGGCTTTCATCGTTACTTACAATACACCTCTTCACCACTAATTACTGCAGTATAACTATTGTTATTGAGTTTTACCTATTAGTCACTCCATTTTGAATCCTATAGTAATGTGAGAGCATTAAAAACTATTATCTTCATCCGTCATAATTAGTTAATTAACAAATCACGAACAATAGATAATCTAATTCTGAAAAGTGACTTGATGGGTAATGCATCCATTAACTAGGAGATTTTGTCACAATGATAAGCTATTAGGAAGTAAAAAAGAGATCATTTTAGATATTACTACGGCTATTCAGTGACTAATTTCTACGTCGTGGTTGAATTTTGCAAATAATGACGCAATTTTGATATTATTACACTATTGAATGACTAAACTCAATGTAGTGGTTACATTTTTATAGACAAATAGTGGTATGATTTTGGATATTGTTCTAGATAGTGGTTGATATTTACAAACAAATGGTGACATAATAATTAATTATTATAGCCGATAGTCATTCAATACTTTCGTAGTAATGAATAACTAATCCTCAACCGATGACTTTATTAGTTATTCGTATAATTATGCATATGTGAATATCAATCAATTAACAAATTATTACTGGTATGCTGATGGCTGACGGAACTAACAAAAACAAATAGTAGTTTTACTAGCAATTACTCGTGTTGCAGTAGCTGTGATAGAATTACTACGTGTTATAAATTCCTGGAGATAAATATGATACTATACTTTATTAACTGTTATTACCAATCATCATTACCAGCTTTGATAGATCAGTACTATAATGATGAGTAACGTAACCGAATTACAAGTAGAATCAGGATTTCACAACTATAGCCAGCAATCATAAGGTACTTATTTATTATAGTATTTTAGAATTAAAAAGCGACTGCATTGAGTGATGATAGTCTATAATTTTCCTAGCACTAGCTGTTTTCGCTAACCATAGACTTTCAACCGTTAGCAATCACCATAATCAAATTACTGCTTTGTAAATAGTAGTGCATTAATTCCGCTATCGGTAAGAATACTAGCGTTAATAATTCTAGCTTTTAACTATTGCGTATCTTCCTTTTGGTGATTACCGAATTGACAGTTGTAGCAAAACAAACCAAGACTATTACAAGCAAATTATCATTAATCATTATTAGCAATTGTCAGAATTCAGTGCAAATGGATACCTAGCTATAAATACTGGTGATAATCTTTCGAAATTTATTGCTAATTAATCGCAGCCACTAATAATAACCTGTAATTACGGAAGCATATTGCACTTGAAATACGCGTATAAGTTACGGGACGATAACTGACGATTCCATCGGCTAAAAAGTCATAACAAATTGTTAGTCATAAGTCAGTATCTGCAAGTAACTGACTACAAGCGGTGCCAAGGTTGATGATAAATTTTATTTACTTAGAAAAAAGCAAATTTAATTTTGGTAGTTATCAAGTTATTTGGATTTAGGACTAGCGAATATCTGAATTGCTATTGTATTTGGATCACTGATAATTTTATTGGTTATCAATCATCGAAGGTTACTAATCTAACAAATGATAATTTACGGTAGATATATTTTTAATTGACATTTACATCGTCCAAGATCATGACAAAAATTTTCAGGTTTCGTATTATTTTTATTTATTCGCCGCCAAGTACAGTCTTTCTGAAAATTAATATGTCAAAAATTTTATTTTAGATTTTACGGAATCTACATAGTATTCAGGAAGTATAACAAGGGATCAGTATATTATTTCTGAATACAACACTGCAGGAATTATATTAAATAGAGCTATTACTTACATGTCATAGCTATTCATTAAGTTTACCTTGAACCTAGCTTTGAACGCGTTGAATTGATCTGTTCGAATACTGTCTTCTAGGTGTCAGATACATCGACTGATTATTATTATACTGTTGCTAACTGTAGGCATATAAATAAAATTTAATTGTTTTTAATTTTGAAGGCAGTAAATAATTTATTCATCGTTATTAATGTCTTGATTTTATCTGATTTAATAAATTTGCTAAGCTTAACTCAAGGAGAATTCTATATAATCTTAGTTAGCTTTCAATATGTGTACATATGCGAATATAGGTATAAAGCGATCTAATAGCATAGATCAATATCAGAATAGCGTGTGTCACACCACATATTATACTTTTATTTACTTTTATTAGTTACTTTAATGCACCCGATACCATCGATTCAAATATATGAATAGATTTCTATGTCATCGTCAACTCTGGAGATTCTTCAAGAGTTAATAAAAATTTGCTTTAAAATGTAAGAATATCATAGAAGTTTTATCTTTAAGTTAATCATTTATTTTTACCGATTCCCTAAGCATTGTAACTCTATACTATATTACTGTCAAAATTACAAGAAGTGTACCTAGATAATTTACACTTTTAGTAAACGTAGGGTATACTTTGAAGATTAGTTCATTTCAGTAGCTGATATCACTGTTTATGTTGCAAGGGTTGTAATTAATATCGGTCGTTATGCTACTTAAAATTAGTCAATTATAGTATTATATCGTAATCTACTTCAATTAACTAGAGCGTTTTTCCTAAAATTTATTAGTATTAGACAAATTAAAATTTATTGTTATATACGGTATGTCAGCGTAAATAAAACGTATAGATACACAGAAGAAAAAGGGTTGGATGGGTTTCATTCTTTTTTGCTATAAATAACTTTTCTAGGTGTAAACTATTTGTTATAGTGCAAACTTCCTTTCGTCTTGATATTGTATTATATATTGTTTACTGACCTATATAACCTTTATTTCGTAAACTAACAGTGATAGTTTATTTAATCGCAACCCACCGCGTATAGATGTGTCAAAGGTTCGGTTCGAAATCAATTCATATCGGTAAATAAAATATAATAAATAGCAGTGACACTAACACAGCATTATTGCAACGTAGGAGTTTCTAAAAAGATAAATGTAAATAAAAATATTTCACATACCGGCTACATTAAATGCAAAATGAAAAATAAATTAAAGTCGAGAAATTGATAAATACTCGATAGTTCAGAAATAAAAGAGATATAAGTTGATAAGAATATCTCAAAATACATCTTGAGTTATATGTAAACCTTTAAAGATTATTACAAAATATTTCAAGTATAGAATTGATAATTGAGATTAGAATGTCTGACCCAGAACAGGATTGAAAAGTAAATTGTATCTAAGTAGGAATATATAGATGAAACTCGTTCTGATGCCGTTTGTAATAAGAATTTACTAGAATGTAATTTTTTAAGATTCTTCTTACCGTCAGACTGATAGCATTATAGACTGCATGTAATAATTTATGGTTTTAAAATTCTTTAAATTGCATCGAAACCAGTATGTAGAACCAGACACAATAAACTACTCTTTACTTCCTTATTTTATTTCAAAGTATGCATTAGTCTTGCATTTAGCTTTAGTGTCAATCAACCTCTATTAATATCTGTATTAATATTGGTAGAGCAAAAAAGCTTTAACCTATTACAGGATATCCTAGATTTAGATCTATTAAAGATGAAATGCAATATTATTCAGTGAGATTAAATAATTAACAGTTGCTGCAATGTTTGTGCTAAAATTTAGTAAAAACCATTCAGGTTCTTTATTAAATCTATTAACATATATTATTTATCATATTCAGCTGATAATTTATAAAATAAAACATAATATATCTTTCCCATAATTACATTATTGTAATGAGTTTGCGAATATTAATATTTTAAATTAAGAAGTAAATAATGTAAAATTAGTGCCAAAATTGTCTGTACAGAAGAACAAATGTAATTAAAATATTAGTAAATATGCCCTTCACAGCTGGGATTATTGCAAATTTTAATTAATATGCCAAGAGTAATAAAATAAAGCCAATCAGCTTATGGAAAATTGACAGATAATACCATTACGGCATGATAAAGTTCGAGGATATTTTTCTCAATGGAGTGGTAATACGGCATATTTATTGTCTTAGATGATGTAGTGAATGAAACATTTTTATAAAATTTGTTACAGCTACAACTGGCTATTCAATTACATAATAATTTGAATAGTATCTATTAAATTTAAGGACTTCAGCTGGTTTCTTTTCACAGCTTTCGATTCTATTACATAATTAATTTCAAAGAGCATGTTATTATCTTAAGGAATTAAATTTATTAGTGTTATTATCATGGTTATGATAATATGCATGTTTTAAAATCCCTCCAACAAAACTTAAACGCCGATATTTCGCACCTAAAGGTAACAGCTTTAATTTATTACAATTCAAGAATGAGTACTGCTAATGCTAAAAAGTTTATCATGGCCTTAATAAACTATGCTTGTATAGCTACTAACTTTAATACCATTCACGATAATGTAACATTATATCTGATAATGAATAATTTAAAATCTAATCTTTTAATTCTCGCAATTGATTGGTTTTAAGAGATCGATTATAAGTATACTCCAGTTTAAATACAATGCTATTGGATAACGATGGACCATATTCATTTGATTTTATATCGTAGATAAGATTTTCCTGCTTCATCATGGTTATATTCTGTCTATTTTAATATTAAATGACATAACTTAAATTTTAATTAATCCGTTACCATAGTGTTGATGATAAGTTGATTTCGAAATACTTCTTTATAGTTTATAAGTTATCCTTCTGATTGCTATCATTATTTATGAAACAGAATACTCGATAATTGAACATATCGAAAGCCAGTGCCGTTAGTCTCTGAAAAGTTGAATGCTTTTTCGCTGATAGACCAGATAGTGGTGATAATTCTATATTCTCTTCTACTTCGTTATACTATTCCTGCTTAAGAAATTGAAGTTACAGATGAGTGTCATTTCAAAGTATTCGTAAGTTGATCAAAGAGGCAGTTTAGCTTTTTGTTACTGTATTTATTCTTTGTTTATGAAAAATTCCTACTTCTATAATTTGAGAAGTAATACTGTAAATAAAAAAAAAGCGTGAAGATAGCGGTTGTTATTTCATGCGGTGTTTTAAGTATAAGGAGCGATAGTATTTATTTGTTTCTTGGCAAACCTTTCTTGGTTAAATGAAATTAATCAACACAACTGGAATGGAAATGAGGAATATTTCAGCTCATCCTTGCATCTACTCAGGATTATCTCCAAATTGTAATAATTCCTCAAATATTGTGTCTCCAAAGGTTAATGTTACCGAGATGTTGCTGTGGTGCACCGTAGGTGTGACAATAATTATAACCAATTCTGCGTATTTAATTGTTGTAGGATTGAAAGAACGGTATAAAAAAAATTCTACAGTAATTGTAAATAGTACATGCTTTGTATCAATATTATATAGCATGATGTATATATTGCCTCGTCGAGCTAACCCCTTTTGGTATCAAGTTCCAATTTTATGCAGGATATTATCACCTCTTGGTCAAGCTTTTGCAGTCATTATTTGTATTCATTTATGCTTGATCAGTTTAGATCGTTACTTCTCGATATTAAATCCTTTTTCATATAAGAAATATGTTACGAAAAAAAGGGTTATCATTCTTATTTCTATAATTTGGATTGCATCGTCAGCCGTATGTATTGTGCCTGTGGTACTGATATTTAAGAGAATTTCTACAGCGGCTTTATATGCTAAGTGTCAAGAATATGATGGTCCTCAGGAAGAGAAAGTGTACGTTTTTATCCTATTTTTGGCCTTGTTTTCTCTGCCATTAATAGTCTCATTGCTTACTTATTGCCACCTTACGCTGATTATTCAATTTCATACTAAGGGAGTATTTATTAATCGAAATGGTGATATTATGAAACAAAAGCAATCATGGCGTCGGAAAAAAGCTTACAGGCAATTCAGTATTTTGCTTATTACATTTGTAATCTTCTTCTTGCCTTATATCACAGTCTATCTTGTCATTAAACAACTTGGACATGACCGTATTAGCACTTTTATGCATTATATGTTATTAATAACACGTTATATAGCGTTTTTCTATCCTGCTATCATACCGCTACTTTACGCCTATTTCACTGCTGATAGTAAAAAGAAACTACAGGAATTATCGAAACGTGCTACGCGTTTGCCAAAACGTATTAATGATGCTAGTGATGATCGTATTAGGCGATGTAGCGTTCGTGAGAGATATATTTAAGTGTACTATTGCGGCATGGAAACTGACCTGCTGGCTAATTAATTTAAAACACATATCAATTTCGTGTATAAACTTATTGATGGAAGTGTAACTTGCGTACTATCACAAGTGCTTTATACTATGCATGGTTGACAGTTTCTTAAATATTGCCATCAAATTTAAATTAATCGAGATATTGTGTACGACCCAATCTACTGTATTGGCTTCGTTTACAGTGTGCTATATGGTACAATGTGTACTACATGATATGTTGAAGGTGTTAAAAATGTAAAACATTACTGTATTTGTGTTATTAAAATTAAATTAATTGTACGCCTAGCTCGTATACAGTACTGTATATTACTGTATATAATGTGTATACTGGTATGCGAACAGTTCTTTTCGAGGTTTAGCATGTTATGAAGTTAATGTTTATAACAATATCCTCCTGTCTATCTAAGAATAGCCATTAATCCAGTATCGTCAGATTGTTGTTATGGATTATCATAATGTACGTACTCGTATGCGAACAGTTCTATTCGAGGTTTAGCATATTATGAAGTTGATGTTTACAACGATATCCTCGTGTCTATCTATCTAAGAAAAGCGATTAATACATTATCGTCAGATTGTTGTTATGGATTATTGTATTAAATGGAGTTGCCGATAATGGTTCTGTGAGTCATTTATATTTGGTACGGATTGCAATTTATAAGTGCGCTCAATCGTAAGTTATCTTTATGCTGAATCTAGTCAATAAGATCAAATCTCAATTCACGGACTTCATATTGGATAATTACCGTATGGTTTAATTTGTCAATTTTTAAAGACGAAAAATGAATAATTTAATACTGTATTGTCAAAGTGTGAGTACTATTAAATATTCAATATAATCCAAGGATTGGACTAGGTTTATCTCGGCAGAATCTGATTGATTCTGTTGAGGCTAAAACTAGAGCGCTTTTCGATGCTGGCTCGTCTATTCGTTGTCTGCCGTCGAAAAACAGTAGGTGACTACGAATCGACAATAACTTCAAGGAGATAATAAAAAGTTTGAAGTTTGAACACTCCTTAACAGGGTCCTTAATTTGGCATTTTTTGATATGCCCGACCAAGGATTCTGCTCCTTAATGGCCTCCATATTATGAGTGTCGATCATAGTTACTAGGCCCAAACATTTCCTTGTTCTACATGCAAAAATACCGCTGAAATTGTACTGAGCTAGCTCTACGTAGTCTGCAGTCTGGTCTGTACGGTCTGAGATGTGTCTGCACCGGTACTGTGTATTGCACATTTGCAATTGAGCAGCCTGTTACAGTGTATAGTGTACATTGGACAGGATATAGCCGACTTATGTTGCATTGTTTTGACCGGAAACGTCTTCAATGTTAAGGCTTCTAAATACATACTGTATTCGGTATAGTATAAAAGCAAGGAATCTGTTTCAAATAAATTTAATTCTAAGAAGTTGAATTGACGAGAACTTGATAAACTGCTGCTACTAATATTACCAAAATTTCAACAGCCTCGATGAATTACAGATTTACAGTATGTCAAGGAGTTTCAAATTATACCATTGGCATCAGTAGCGTTCCATGCTTTTATTTTAAAGCGTTAATATGTAACTCCTACTATATCCGGTCTAGTTCTAACACTACCGTATGAACCAAACTTAGTATAGAATAATTAGTTAAAGAGCACAATTAAAGTGTTAACAGCACAAAATTTCTTGCAAAAACCAAATTGAAAACAAGAAGATACTGAGGGTCTCTACTACAGTACAGTATTGAATGAATGAAAAAGTCAGCTGATCCGGTCTGGCCCGATCCGATCCGGTCCTGGTCTTCTTCTACAGTATTGTGTACAGTACTTTCCACTGGAAAGTACTGTAGTCAGTGTTTCAAGTTTTAATGAATGAAAATACGCCACGTAACCAAAGTCAAGCTTACGGTACTGTACTGTGTATAGTGGGTAAGTGAAATACTGTACAGTACACTATGATGCAACACTGGAAACAGGCAATTGACACCATTCACGCGAGACTATAAATAGTGAAAGCATTGGAAACGTTACCAAATTCATCTTGTTATTATCAAGTGGCGAAAGTGGACTCCTCCAAACTTTAAGCACCGAGTAAGTAGCTACTGACTGCATCCTGCAATTTATTTCCCACCTGTTAATATTACATAGTGATCTTACAGTTGGATTGGTTAAAGCCTGGTACTGTTCGCCCAGAAGTGTCGTAACTGTTCGACATTGTACTGCATTGATTGAAAATTCGCTGTTATTAATTAAGAGCAAAGTATAGCCGGCAAATTCATATCTAAACTAAAGTAGTATACCGTTAACTTCTATATTGTGCATTCTCTAACCTGTGGCTGGTATCGATTGATCCATTATATTTGCATAGAGGTAGTTGGCTTCGTCTTATCCGTGGGAAAATGGTCAAAATACTTCAAAATCCCAACACTGTTATGCGTTGGTTACTGCTATCTTTTTACGCACTTTTAATAGGCTCCTTATCTTGCCATGGGAACGACCAACATGGTAATCAAGCCATAGCTATAGTGGACTCTGAAGTTGAAAATAAGGATTCTACTGCAACTAGTCATGATAAACTGAACCAAATCGATTATGACGACCTGAATGTTTTTCAACCAACTTCTGAATGGCAAACTGTGTATGAAGGTCAAGCTATCCCTGCTGGCCTACATGTTAGAATGAATTTAGCGACAGGCAAGAAAGAGGCAAAACTGATGGAAGATGGTACCAACAAAGAAAAGGAGAAAACAACTGGGCCAAATTTTCAAAATGGCATTCCATACACGAAGAAAGAGCTAAAACAACTCTTACAAAATATGCCAAAGGACAATAAGGCGGGGGAGGTAAAGGCTTTTGATAAAAAAGATAATTCCCTACAATTGGATGACATGTACAATGTAGCTTAGGCGTAGATAATTCATTTTGAATCAAATTGAAGATATGGCTTTTGATTATTTTATTACATGTATTGATACAAATATGAACATTAATTTCTACTATAGACATTTGTAATCAGTGATGAAGATAGAGAAAGAGTAAAAACAAGCTACAAATCTATCGAAGAGATTAAAGATGATCTAGGCAAATTACATGCAAACATTAAAACCGATGCTCAGGTTTTACAGTCTAATATTGACACCCTCAAAGATAAAAGTACAAGTAAGGATGACCGAATGACCGCTTTAGAAAGTATTGAATATCTGGTTCATCAGATTGACAATGCTAAAGATTTTCATACCATGAAGGGATATCAGTTAATTCTCCATGATTTGAATGGTACTGATGTAAATATAAAGAGCATTGCTTTTCAAATTATTGGAGCTGCTGTTCAAAGGTATTTCATATGAACTAATAATTCATTAGTATTCAAATTTGTATATACGAACACAAACTGTACCTTAACATTTAACATAATATTTCATCTATTGTGTCTAAAAATTGTCAAACCCTTGCTCTAGTCATTCAAAAGCTAAAAAGAAAATTGACGCTAGATAGTAGTTATAGGACTGTTGATGCAAATTGAAAATTTTAAATAAAATTAAATTTCTCATATATTTCTCATTTCATACAGTAACCTTGATGTGCAAAGAATTATGCTGGATCTTGGAATTTTACCAATTATTTTTAACGGCATAGATGCAAAGGAGGAATTCATTATACGCCGCAGATCGCTTTATGCTTTATCATCCCTTTTGAGAAATTTTCCTCCTGCACAGATGGAATTTCTACGTCGGGGTGGGATGACAGTGTTAACCAAAATATTTTTGGAGGGTGGCACTGAGGTTCTCCGAATAAAAGCACTTGCTCTCATATCTGATCTCTTAAAAGAGAATGTAAGTTGTCTACAGGATGAGATTTCATGATTTGTACTGCGTCTATTTATATCTTTGTTTGTTTTAATTATTTTTTACGTATTACTATAGCATACTAACTATCAAGCTGAAGATAACATCTCAATAACTGGAAGGTGAAGCTAAATTTAGTATAGGATCTAATGATTATGTCATTGGCATCTACTTAGCATAATTTTTATTATCTTACTGTTCTAATTGCAGAATACTCGACGAATTAATTGAGCGCAAGTGGTGTAAATTTATGCCAATATTGCTGCAAACTACAGATTATGACGCAACGGAGAGAGTATTAGTTGCTATGAATACAGTAGTAGCGTATTGTAAAGAAGAATTTGACAAAGACAATGTATCTACAAAATTGAAAAACTCTGTAGAGAAGTGGAAAAAATTGATAGCGGAAGACGATGATAATTCCTTTTATTCAGAATTGATCGATTTATCAGTAAGATTGCAAAATAAGTTGTCAATATCTTAAGTGCGAGGAATGATAAATGACATACCCGTAAAAAGATTGCTATTCATATATTTTATTTTATTTTAATGCAAAACGTTCAAATGCACTTATTATGATAATAATTGAGAATTTCCAGTCCAAAAATTATCGCCAATTATGTCTACATGCTCTACAACTACATCTTTTCTCTTGCGGACAACGTTCTTATACTCAGCATCTTCAGAATTGCTACTTTTGCATTCCTTTAATATATTTTCTTCAATCTAAGATGTTATGCAAATTGTTAGTAACGATATTAAGGTTGCAAATTTGTTGCATTCGGTTAACTGTAAATCTTGTAATATAATTTGATACATCATGTTAAACTCTGTAATACGGATCTGACGATACGTAATAGTATAAAATACAGGACAATGAATGTAGCTCGTAAGAAAATTGTATTGATAGTATATTTAGTGTTTTATGATTTACAGATAAAGAATGCCATAGATAGTTGTAATGTATAGTCCTGAATCATATTAACTGACCTCCTTCCATAATAAAATTGACCCCTTCCTAAATATTGCAGGTTCTTTATCGTAGTTGATCTGAAATTGGCTAAATAATAGTTCATTTTTATCGCCGGAATCCGTTCCCTAAATATTTTTAAGCAGGATAAATTTATAAATCCGTTTCGTTCGTTGTTGACTGTAGAGTAAATACTGTATTGCGTACACATAGTTTTTTCTCAGCATCAGGTAATGAATATTGTCCTTGTTGTACAAGAGCCCAAAAGGAAGTATTATACAAATTGTTAATATGGCCTAAAGGATGAGAGGTTGAAATTGATTAAGATGGTATTAATGTTTAAGGATTGATATGGACGACTAAGAAAAACTAACAATCTGCCTGTCTCCAACTTAAGTAATCTCGAAGATTTTTATCGGAAGGATACAATACCACTCGTCCATCAAAAGTTGGAGGATATTGCAAAATGTCGTTAAAATAATTCTTCCAATAAAAGACGTAGGATGATGAGAATAGAGACGTAACATTTGTCATTAATTTGCTAAAATGATGGAAAGCAATAGAAAGTAAGCAAGAATTGGGCACTAATGTTGAAGGATATGTGAGTGGTAAAGTGGCAGGAACATAATTTACGTTTCACTTTACGATATCTAGTAATAGCAGGGCGCGATTCTAATTACTGAGTGCAAGTAACAATTTCAATAGACTGGTGATGCATAATAATAATAATAATAACAATAAATAATTATTGTATTATGGCTATTGCAATACTGTACATCGTATTATTTTGGGGGATATCGATTAAGCTAATTCCCATTTAGATATGGCATATTGTTGATTCACTGATGCGACAAATTAAATGATGCATAACAGTTACAGACGCAATGTAGACTTTGCAATTTATTTTGGAGTTACCTTGCTCGGCGACCAAATAAGTTACAACTTTTCTTGAAAATGAAGCTATTAAATGAATCAAGGTTTACGAGTATATCATTCGTTAATACGTAGAGTCATATTTGTACATAACGGATTGAATCATGCCTTTAACCTAAACTCATCACTTTGGCCATAACCCAAGATAATATCGGGGAATTCTTTCATGACCGCTTTTCCACAGTGATTCATTAAATTGAGAGCTCGATCATCATTGGGTTTCTTAAATCGGTGTTGGGAGGAGAACCTGGGTCAGAATCAAGATAACAGAGCCTTTTAGTGTGTCCTGTATATGTAGTAGCAAGCCTAAGCTCGTACTTGTCAGTCGAGTAGCATCGATTTCAGACCTACTTGTGAAAGCATCTTCCATCAAGACGTACAACTATCCAGCAATTTCGCAAGCATTGATCAGCTTGTTCGAATAGCTTGACGTATTCATATCTGCTCTTGGCCATGATATCCTAATAATACAGTAGGGCGATTTAGAAGTACTGTACAGTACAAGGCTACCATTCAGTAATAGATATTGTTACTATACTGTAGCTACAACTTGGCTACAAGTATCATTTTTCGGGTAAAGTCAGCTATTATGCTTTCGAGATTTACTGCTACCATTAACTTTCAATTTAGAATTTAGTTTATTAATTCATGGCCACTGCAGAAACGGCTATACTGTCTACAGGAGAACCTAAAAATAATACAGTATACTATACTCTGAGTATACAGTACAGTAGGGGTAAATGTATGGAGCCGCTTTACCTTTGTGCAAGTACAGTACAGTAGACCATACGAGTATTGTATAGCAAAGGTTGTTTGATCATTGCTTGCCCCCTCTCAACTGAGATGTTGACTATTACACACCGATAATTTCTATCATTAAATATTTAAAAATTTTGTCAATTTACGCACTTTTAGTACTGGTGCAAGACGAATTTACGCAACGTCCAACAGATATTCTAAATTCGGCCGTTTTGACGGACTAGAATACGCGCCACCTAGGTGCGGTATACAGTACAGTAGTGTACTCTACATTATGAATGAAGAAGCACCGGGTGTATTTCAACACATGGACTACAGACGACTGCAGTCACCGTTTTATTTTCTTTTCCGATTTTTGAGTCAAAATAAAGATCAGCATTATTACTATCTGTTCTACCATGTTTTATACTTACAGGCACTGTTCAGTTTAGTAAATGTGTTTGTAAGGTTCATTATTGACAATAAATGTCCTCACATTCCAATAAGCTCCTTCTTAAAGTGAGTAGGAGATTAGGAGTACATTCAACACCATTGGGGGGGGGTTGACCACAGGGATTGACATTGTACTGTACCATCGTACAGTACAGTACACTACCTTACACTGTAAACTACAGTACTTCACATTGTATGGTACTGTACTGGTACTGCACTGTGTGATCGTTGTACAGTACTGTACTGTACTGTACTGACGACATCAACTGCGCCGGCGCCTTCACCTTTCAGAAAAGGAAGTTTTCCTTCTTAACGGCTTATTCTACCACTCAATTTTTCAATCAGTTTGCTACGCCAACCCAATATTATTCCATAGAGTAACCAAGAAATTAGCAAGTTTCATGTGATTATGATTACACAATTTTTATCCAAGCTTATCATGTAAGTTGGACTAGGATTAGTCAACTAGTTCGTTGTTGATATTATATTTTATAAATGTCCTTTGAGAGTCATTTTTTTCTTGAACGGTTGTCGTCGTCAAATATGATGTCATGCGCTAGTAGACAGATATACTATAAGCTGTCACAGTACTTTCCAACGCTCTATAGTCAGTGACTAGGAAATGCTTCTTTAGTGTCGAAAACAGTACTGTCGACCTATTGTCTAAACTCTTGATTTGGCCTTGAAGACGTAAACAAAAATGAAGTTAGTTGGAAAGGCAATTTTCTCAATTTCTTTTTCTCGACAATTTTCATCAGTCTTATAGCTGGTGTTCTCTATCCAGCTTACCGCTCGTTTAAAGCTGTCAAGACACGTAATCCACGTGAATATGTAAGTCAAGCTAATTGATAGTACAATGATCAGCGTACTGTATTAACGTTAGTCTTGTCATGTTATACATAGGTAAAATGGATGATGTACTGGATTAGTTTCGCATTTTACACTGTGGCTGAAACGATAGCTGATCTTTTAATTGGCTGGTAATTTGGTTGTAGGCTTATAGCTGTTACTATTTACTGTTGATAGTCTATTAAAGAAATTTTTATATTCTTGTCCATTCTTGAATTCAGGTGGTTTCCGTTATACCAAGAAGCCAAAATTCTCTTTTTCTTATGGCTGCTATTACCGGCAACAAATGTAAGCGTTCCATGACGACTGGTATTCTTACGATAGGCTCAACTTGGAATCGTAATCAAGAATACAGTTGGGCGTACATCTTCCATTCAATATAATTTATTTCTTCTATTGTATAGGGTACGAGCATATTATATAGGAAGTTCATTCACCCTAATTTGATGGCCCATGAAGAGGTTTGTTCGCCTCATAATCCTTAAATAGGACTCTTTATGAGATCATAAATACTGTACTTAGCTGTAAGACAATAATGAACATTTCATGATGTTCTACGTCCAACAGTATAATGGTAATAGCAGCCAGTACTACGAAATAGAGTAATTGCCACTTCATAAACACGTTACCTGTTAAGATAAAACTTAAATTCAATCGTAGCTTATATAAGCAGACTACATGCAAGTGAATTGCACTACATTTATTTTGATAGATTTTGTGTGGCAATAAACAGTTTATGAGTAGATGGCCCGCTTACGTTGATAACCTTATTGAATTTCAATTTTCAGGAGATAGATGAACTCATCAAACAATACAAAGACAAGATATATAGTTCAATACTTGATGTTAGTAGAAACGGTGTGACTATGGCTGCTAGAACACTTGTTCAAAGTATTCTCAATGTAAGCTACTGGCACATTTTTATCAAAACAACTTTTTCAATGAATACGTATGGACTGCGATGCTTGTACTGTAATGTATTAAGGATATCTTTTTCCTTTTTTCGTATGCAACGCTTTGTAACGCTTAGAATGGACAAAATATTGTTGCAGCGCGCAACGTTCAGCAGTTGCCACCACCAAGTACAAATGTTGATAATAATGCATCGGCCAATGTAACGTCCTCAAATCAAGATAAACAAGGTATTAACAAACATATATTAAAGTTGTTATTCCTATCATTAATAGTATAAAATATGAGCAATGGTTTATGCATTCATGTATGATAGCATAATATATTCAGCGAAATAATTTTATACAATACACTAGGTCAGCCAGAGATCAAACAAGAAATAGTTACTCGAGATAATGTTGATCATGTTGTCCGTGAAGTTTACCAAACTCAGGATAATGTTGATCATGTTGTCCGTGAAGTTTACCAAACTCAGGGGTATGATGCTAGTAAACGATTAGAATCAGATAATGGCCAATTATCGCAATTAGATGGAGAGCAGAGAGCACTGTTACAAGATGCATTTAGAAATGTTGATAATAGAGGATACGATGATTCCGATGCCAGTCTAGAAATATCCTCGCAAGATATTTCAACTAGTCGAAGTCAGTTAGACTTAAGCTACAATCTACAATCTGATGTTTCTTCGAATACGAGCGTAGGAAGCCAGGTAGATATTGATTCACCATAGTTAAATGTTAAATGATTAAGGTACTGTATAGAGTATGACTTACAGTGCTGTATTTTAGCTATAGTAGCAGATATATACCGTAATAGTTTCTATTTTTTGTAGTATGGTATTGTCACCCGAAGCCAATCTAGACAGAGACAACTTGTTACTGCAACAGCTGATGAAGGAAGATTAAAGCGGCAGGACATTAATACTATCTCTGAATATATGCCACAATTTGACGAAGAATTTAGCTCTAAGTTACAAGATTACCTGAAATATTGAAATATTCATAGTTTTCTAGCAAACAGTGGTAAGTTGTACTATACAAACAAACATTTACCGTAGCAAACTAATGCTGATTTATTGATTGATTAATCATTGAAAACATGGGCTGTGTCACAGCAAATACAATGTACAGCTGTACAATAGGAAAAATCGTAGTAAGATAAGTAAACCTTGTTTTGGACGAAAATTTGGGAATTGCTTGCATAATGCTAAATTTATGTGCAGATAACTTTTTAAAAATTAATTATATTAAATGTTACGATATCATTGTAATGGTATAATTTTAGACTTGACAACTTTTTTGTACATTAGTTATAGGAACATGTTTACTCTGGTACGGTCATATACAATCCTTTCTTGTTACACTTTTACGCTCGCAATCATGCTATTTAACTCATGTACCGAAAAAAATTACGTTTGTACTATAAATCTATCATCAATACCTGATTTATGTTAGATTCTAATGTATTAATCCTTATGTAGAATATCATACTATGATATTAATTATAATTATTAATAGAAAAATGCAACGCGTTATCAATACAAAATCGATTGAAACATCGTAGTTTCAAGTCAAGAAATATTAAAGAACATTTGTACTATATATATATATTTACGTACAGATGTATTTGTAAAAGATATTTCAAATAAAGAAACAGTATTTTATGGCTATTCTTTCCATTTAGTTAGATCTTGTTGATGCAACTGATCTAATGTAGACTGATATTCAGTTAATTTATCTAAATTACGTTTCAGTAGTAACTCCTTTCTCTCAAGTTCATCTTTAAGTTGTGCTACATCCTAAAAATGCAAAGACAGATAATCAATTAGTTCCATCAATGCAGGATCGAACTAGGTGCTATAGTTAGTTGATAGGGATAAGCCATTGAGGATACTTACGCCATAAGTAATGTTTTTGACTTTATTCTGCGTTATGCCATATTTAAGAAAGTAGTCTTCTACTCGTTGTGAGCATTCTATGAACTTATCGGTCACTACTTTAAGATCTAAAGTTTAAGAAAGATTCAATATTAGCATGACGGTCGTTCTGCATCAACGGCGTTGGTTGTTTACACAAAAACTGAAGGATGTGCAGTAGCAGTTCGTGGCTAGATGTGCGATTAGTGCAATGAAATAGGATTTACATACTAGTTCTATGCAATCCATAGTTACAGATCAATACGGATACCTCTTTAGCTGTATACTAAGACTAAAGATTAAGAAGGTGGTTTGTGCCTAAGCTATTTTTAAAAAAGCATAAGAGTATACCGTATTGTATCGACGAAATAAATCGCATCCTACATGACAAGTACAGTACTGTAGATACTAGATACATATCCGTTTTTTTGCTAATACTGTATTGACTACAGTAAGTACAGAATAATATTTGACAAATGTTGAACATTTAAGTTTTAAATAGTAGCGCTGCATGACTACAAGTAGGAAATGGATGTCGATCAAAGTCAATAGTAAGACTGCATTCTAAGCTAAAGATGTCCGTAATCCATTTAAGATTAAAATAGTCATATGTATGCTTTTAGCCTCTCCGTCTACATCTATCGTTAATTAGTATGAATGATTTTACTATTCTGGATAAGTATTCATTCTTTAGGGCAGTTAGCAAGTTGTATATAAGATTATTACTTGTTGAATGGAATTCTATTACAGCAAAGGAATCGTCACATGAAATTATAAAATCAACTACAACAGTGCACAGTAGGTTTCCGTGGCTTAGGCTGCATATTTATCTCTCCAGCTATTATAATCGTACAATATAATGTACATACAACCGCAATATGCTTGCTGTTCACATGCAAGATTATCAATAAGATTCTGTAGCTTACCTTCTTCGCCTAATTTTTTACCTATGCAGTTTACACAATCCTTGAGAAAAAGAGAACAAAAATTTTAATTAAAAATCAGTAGATGAAAAGTAGCAGGAAGACAAAAGAATAGCAATTCTACTTTAAGATTGTCCTCCAATTGGTCTATTAAATTTTCGGACATGATTCTTTTTCTTGAGATTGTTCCTAATTAGATTTCCTTCACCTTGTAAACACTTCTTAGATTGAAAGCTACTGCTGAAAGTGCTAATTGTCGTGATAAATGATGAACAGCTAGCAGTCGCTAAGCGATTCCCTTGATTTGGCCGCGACAATGATATTCTGCTCTGCGCAGGTAATTTACTAAACTATAGTATACTATAGATGTTCTTATGTTCTACCAATATTAGCCTATTACGGCACTTAAACACCTGCTAATATCTAGTATGACCCCTTAGACGCTTTAGCAATATAGCAACGGCCACTTCATGATATATCACGGGTTGTCCGTCCACCCGTCTCTATAACAAATGACGAATTATTGAACATGGACTACTACAAGTCCAACCCCGGATTTTTGTCCATGGCTCAGCAGATTCTTCTCTCGCTTGCTATCTTATTGTATTCTTTGGATACATTCCTCTTCTACCAAAGCTCTATTTTGTTACTTCTTATTGCTTGATTACCGTAAGAGACCAATATTTTTCGCTGTATAATCCCACTCGAAATGAGTAGCACTCACTGTACATTACACTATGACGTGCATACTAATAATGGACAGTGATATAATATTGAACTAGTAAAATAAGGTAAATACAGTCTTTGCGACCTTTTCTACTTGCTATAAGTTAACGCCATATAGAATGGACTGTAAAATATATATGATACTTATAGGGTTAGTCAAATCCCAAAACCAATGATGTAGTCGTGAAGTGACTGCAATTGACTCGAGAGACGAAAACTAAAACTAGTTGTACAATAAGAATACTCGAAAAAATACTCATCTCTCACTAAAAGTATCCAATGAAAATAACTTTAGAGCATTGATAAACTCTCAGTAGAGTAGAGTATTACACAGCATTGCAAAATAATTATTAAATTCCTGCTGGCCATTACTAACCAGCCCGAATCTGTCGCCTTTCCTACTAATAACAATCCTTGAAAATACCGATCATCTAATACTTTATTTTGATATTAACAATAAAAATTTTGTAAATTACATGCAATGTACTCACAACAAGCCGCACACATTCTATCTTACATCCATCAATATTGCATTTAACTTGTCTGGTATTGTTATTGTTATTATAATTATTATTAATGTTTCAGATAATCAATTACGATGGTAGGCAAAATAGTTCGTATTACACCAAAACATGAACGTAAATAGTACAGTCTGAATGTTTTAAAATACGTACGAGTAACTTTAATTTTAGGCTCATAAAATGTAATTTCAACAACTGAAAAGTCATCATGCATCAAAGGAGTAGACTACGTTAGCTCACCAAATACTTTAATACCAGGATTAAATTCTCTAAGTAACATTTCGATAAACATCAAAGGTTATATACAATGAGATAATACGGCAGAATAGAATGTAGTACTATTTGTACATAAAGCAGGTAATGATAAAGAGTATCGAAGCTGGAATAGGAATTTATCAAAATTTTTTAATCGGACTAATGTCGTACAAAATTTTATCAACTATAAATTATCAAACTGGTTGTTTACTCGTAATATCATCATCGGGTTAATCGGTAGGAAACATACATATGCAAACAGATATGAAAATAGCATCAAAAATGCTTCAACAAATATTAATATAAGGTACGCATTATGCAACTGTTCAACTCAATATTTACCATGTTTTGATGTGAAATACGGTAATACCTATTCCTATCTAACAGAAAACTTAGAACGAACAACTTGCATGTAAAGTGTTACCTATTCCAGCTTTGAGGTGCATTTTCAACAAAAGTAATTCATGAATTTAGAATTAGAGCATCAATGAGAGTTCCTCATCTTATACAAAAAATTTAATACATAGTCATCAATAAAACTTTTTATAGTTTCAATAATCATAAACATCAAGCAATACTACTAAACTGCCGATAGTAGTAATCTCTTAAAGTTATTCGTTGAGAATGTCGACACTAATATCTTCCACATTAAGAAGTCATCATATTAGCAGTGGTAGAATTATCAGGCTGAAGCGAAATAGACGCACCAAGTAATGTATGGACATCTCGACGAAATGCGGATAAATTCTGTGCAAATCTATCACATGAAGTTAGAAATTAAATCCAGACTATTCTAGTTTGATTGTTATTAATACAAGATAAATCAATGGCACAGTTACCTTTCTCTATTTTTTGTAAATAAAGAAAATTCCACTCCATCCATAAGACTCGAAAAACATGAAGACATTTTTTCCTGCTTATTAACATGTTGACTTGAAATGATGTTGGCAGTAAGTTCGGAAAAGTACTACAAGATAAAGTGATGACGAATTAAAATATCTTGACAATTGAATCAGCTAATTATTTTTCTCATCGTTACCTTTTCATTCAACAAAATTAATCCTAACAGAGGTCTCGACATAGTCCACTATTAAAAGAAAAGTGTTAGCCATTAACATCATGCGTAGTTTATTACCGGTAGTCGAGACAAAAAATAAGATCTTTTTTAATTAATTATACGAATATTGATTGCAATCCTACCTGATTTTTACAATCTTCAAACATAATTATATTTAAGATAGTGTCTAATACCTAAAGGGATATTAACATAAATTTTCTGTATCAGTTGGGGTAAGTCATAATCGAATTGAATACTTTGCTAAATAGTATACCTGCTGAAGTACTTCTGATTTATGCTCTAATACACGAAGTAAAGAACTTTGCTCCTGAGATGTATTATTTGATTTTTTAGTTTTAGAGATTTCTTTAAACAAATTAGTTAATAAGTGGTCTAATGCAGAGCAGCAGAAGGTACAAATGTTGACATCTATATAAACGAAAAGATCTGTTAGCTTAGCAAAAATGATTCAAAGACTGATATGTTACGTAAAAACTGGTTATAGTAATTGCGTACCAAGTGCAACAAATCCTTGCGAAAGGGTAGATAAAATTACGAGTAAGACCTATGGAGAATTAAAATTTTAATTATGGACAATTAGGACAATCACTTAACACTATGACAATACAATAGTAATATCGCATTTTTGGGATGGGATTTTTGACAATAAATAATTATTTATACAATTATCAATTTCAAATTTGAGACTATGACTTACATTGGGCTCCAGATTATTGATATAAGACGCATGATCTTGTGCTAGTGCTTCAATAAGTGAATAATAGGCTTTCCCCAATTTAGGATAGTCCTTAATGTGAGTTTGCAACAGCATCAGAATCATAATTCTCAATATACAGTAATGCATAAATCATTGGCTATTTCATATCATACCAGTAAGTCCTGAGAAGGTATAGATAATAACATCCTAAGGAACATTCCTAATACATTGTCAAATGCATCATCGCCATAAAGTCTAAATATACCAAAATTAACATAGTTCCCGCTCAAAGCTGCTTTTAACATGCTGAAGCAAATAGAAATGCCTTTAAGCTTATACATCGTCAAGGAACATATAATTTATTTGTAACTTGTTATACAATATTTCAATGCAATGATCATAATACATAACTTCATCTAATGAAAATGTTTTAGTGTAAAATGATGATTTTATTATTGTGAAAGGAAGGATATTTCATTGCGTATATTTGTCTTTCCGGTATATCATTAAGTAACAATACTCTGGAACCTAACGTCAAACAATAGAATTAAAATGGTTGAAAGAATTAAGAGTATTAGCAAAGTAGCAAACTTACCATAAGTACAAATTATTTTGCTAACTTCCCGGAATAATAGGACACCATTTGGAGAAGATACTTCAAATTGTAATCTTTGAGATCGATTTTGGACTATTTCAGTCACTAACTTTAATACCGGGGTTGTAAGACTAGGATCATGATACCATAACTCCACTGCTCGAATTAAAGCAGGCATATATGCGGGATATCTGTTAAACAAGTTAAGGAACATATCGAATATGCGCTGTAATTAGATTGCATGACAATTGGGTTATTATTGATTTGGTAGTCTGAGGGACATGGAAAAGATACAACCAATCGAACAGCATCATGTAACATGATCTGTTGACAAAAGCTGTACCAAGGCCTCTTATGTCACGGCATAGACCGATTATGGTTCTCTATTAAGAGCATATATTCATTTAGTACGTGATATGCATTCAACATAGCATTTAATAAGAGTTATAAAACCTTGACTTGCTCTTCATTAACTGATGTTGATGCTATTTGATTCTTGAATTGTTCAAATTTTACTAAGAAGAGGACATTCAATTTGTAGATGTTATGCTGTCGAAGAAAATTGAAGAAATTCATCACAATTACCTTAGCAATTAACAGTACTTACATGTAAGAGGCATGAAGAATTGTACAAACGATTCATCGTCCTCTCCTAGATCTACCATCAAGAAACGACCAATAGCAGTGTAAAATAAGGTTCTATGTCTCATATTTTTAAGTGTAATATTTGGCTGAATTCCAAGAAACGGAAAATGTTGTTCCTGATGGGATTATAAATACAACAATTGGTTTCGTGATGTGCTTGAATATGAGCTAGATATGATTTATCTTGCCATCTCCAAAATTGTATTAATAACTTACTGTATGATTCTTTAGAACAAATTGAATTGACTCTAATTTGACAATTTTTCTAACACTGCTGTAGTTAAGAACAGTTAAGCAAAATAGTAGCAAGTGTTGGATTATTGACATATCTGAGAAAAATCAAGTATGTATTGCAGGATATCCCATCGAGAGATCACTTAACAGCTGCAGCGTATGCAACATAATCAATTCATTTTCACTTTTATATTTTAGGTTCGATAAGCTAAAAAGAAAAAGATTTTTATCATATATAGATCTTGCTCGTTTCTTCAATAGCAATACTAAATCAGATAACGATTATAAAAAAGCAAGGATACTTACATTTTATTTATAAATATGCTTAACACCATTGATTCATCTTTAAGACCCAGACGTTCGCCAATACAGCTATAAACCTGCATAAATTTGACATAAGTAATTCTTTTTTTAGCATATATTGGATATACAAAGTGAATTAAGCGGACTATCATGCTAAAAAATTAAGTAATAATTTTAGTACAATACGAAGAGTCTTAGAGACCTTTGCGGTTTTTTGCATTTGGTCGCCAATGTAAATCTTTCTAAATTGTTCAAAGAAGCTCAAGATGGCGAGATCTAATTTTTCGCTTAAAACCTAGTAAGGTAATGTAATAAATCAAGAACAAGATGTTGATATAGCCCTACATAAAAACAATTTATCTTACTTGAGGATTTCTTTCCTCTAGCAACTTCATTAGCTGTAACACACTATTAAACAAAACAAAAGGTATAACGTTATATAATTCACGTAATACTACAATAGGTCATGAATGAAACTAATAAACTACCGGCAAATCAATTCTCCATCAAGAATATCGCTTTCCTCCGCGATATAGAAAAGTGTTCTGCCAGCTACTACAGACCCAATGATACATACCAACCAAGCAAGTTGTCCTAAAAAAGCCATTCTACAGTCACTGAAAATTTTTAAAAATAATAGATTCCTGGACTTAATTACCTTCGTAAACTACGAAACTTGCATCACTTCTTTGAGATTGCTGTTGTAAACATTCCTGATAGGATGATGCCGCCTGGTCGAATAGAGACATGACTAACGAGCAGGTTTGGTCGTAATCACAACGAGCGATAGTCGAAAGCTATATAATATCAAATGACAATTATAAGAGTATAATTTGCATACTCGTATATAACTATTGTAATAACTTTAAATTAATTTACCTGTTCAAGTTGCTGCTCTAATACGTGATAATCTTCCATAGGATCCTCTAAGCCATCTCTGTTAAAATATACAATTACAGTTTTACATTTACTGGTAAAGATAGTATCCAATGAGCAATAACAGTAATTTACCTAATGACGAGTTGTACAGACTCTAGCCGTGATGTAACGTAAGCTTTGGTAATCTACATGGAATAAAATACCCTCTAGATTAGGTTGTAAAATTCGAATTACTATTGAGAATTACAGTACAACAGGATCTTTTACCTGAGGGCTATATTCATTAAGATGATGTGGGGATGACGATTTGACGTAGGGTAAGGAAGCAACAAAACGTTGCCATAATCCTAACAAATAGTGGACACTATTTGGTGCGCATTGCCAAACCTCCTAATAATGTTGTCAAGTCCATGTAAGTATAAGAAACGGGTAGTTACATCAGTGGCTCAGAATGAAAAATTCTGATAAGCTACTAAGGAAAAACTTCAATCTTATAATTGCTCTTTAATAGTGCAATATCTGACCTGTACACTTGTGACCGTAAACTTGGCTATTAGATCAATAACTAGGCTATAATTGTCAACTTTAACTAATTCGCCGAGTTGATAATTCGATTTTAATCGAGCCAATAGGCGGCAAAATTCGTGATAACAACTTGGATCCGAAAGATACTATCAGTAAGAGATTTAGAGTAATGAAAACTTAGGCATTAGGCAATTTTGCTATAATTGGTAGTACCATGTTGTCAAAATAGACTTCATATTCACCTGAGGTTTTTCTAATACGCTTCTAATTCCTTGTACAAGTGAATTAAGGTAAATAGGTCGCTCATTGTTATTAAATAAAGATCGTCTCACTGAAGCCAGATGGACCAAGCATGATAGTGACTATTAGTAAACAACCGCTCTTAGTGATATTGAATTTTAAGCAATGTAGCTTACTAATTTTAGCTCAATCAAGAATTTTGCTACAATAATATTTACAAGAGCATCTACTATTGGAGATTTTTATCCAGATTTTAATCACATACATAACTTATTTGAGAAGACTTACCAACGCAGTTAGTGATGAATTGAATACTCCATACAAGTTGAAGAATAGATCCAGTAGACTACCATCTAGGAAAGCTATAAAAAAAGCAAGATTTATTATTTTATGTTAGTAAACTATAAGAAATATGGTGATACTTCTTACGAGCACACAGTAATGCAATTTAGAATGTTTAAGAAAGGAGAACAACAATCACTTTAGATGCATGCTTATTGTTAACATTAAGAAATTATTGACGGACGTTAATAATTCATCTTAGAATTTACCTTGTCTCCATGATGTTGGTATTTGCACGGTGCTAACGTCATCGGATGCTTCATCTATACATGAACCGATAAAATCGAAGGATAATACTTGCACAGTAAGCTGTAATAGACTGCTAACTAAGGTCACCTAGAGATTTTAAAAAGTGATGACCACAGTAAATTTACATCAAGTCCATATTCAAGCATAATTGATTACTATTATCTCGAAAAATGATAAGACTTACTTGTTCTTGGTTATTTTGATCTACTGGTTTCTTTGTTAACTAAAATTGGATATGATAAAGTTATGAACGCAAAAAATATTAGTTTAGTGCAAGGTTGTTTACCCATAAAGAGTATTTTATATTATTGATAATAATATTTTCAATTCATATAATATTATTAAGTTACCTGTTTGAGGAATGAGCATGCGACATTAAACATATCTAATAGTACTGAATCACGAAAGGACGCTGCAACCTAAATGTTTTCGATAAGATAATATGCATTTTTGTACTGATTTAAAATGGGGCTTGTTTGACATAAAAAATACTTAAATTGTTTTTGGTTATGTATGTTACCTTTCGTTGTTTGGCAAACGATCTGGATGGATCAGCAACCTATAAAAAACCAATTCAAGGCAATGGTAGACGTTATGGTCTACATAATTATAAACGTGTGAAGTTGCAACTAGTCCACTCTTACCTGATTCATTTCTATAATTAAATTAGTTAAAATCTGAATGCCAATAACGCACGTATCGATAGAATTTCCTTGCAAGAATTTATTCATCACATCATTTACAACAGTTTGAAAGACATATTGTTCTTTTTGCATTTCAAACCAACTATACTTGGTAATTCTTGCTAATAACTAGATGATGTTGATGATAAAAAAACAAATTACATACTGCTTCAAAATAGTATTATCAGGGTTATTTCATTTTTATCGTTGATGATAAACATTGTTCATTGTAAGAGAGGTGATTCTAATATCATACCTTCATTAAAGCTTGGGCTACAAAATTGGTCAATTTGAGTCGTGTAGCCAGATAGTTCAGTAAGTAATTACCTAGAATAGTCAAAAATAATAACAACACGTATTTAAAGCATCTGCAGATAGGATAAGAAAGGAATTGTAATGTTGATATATCCATTGAATCTATGTTGTTTATCCTTACGCATTTCTAATCGATGATTTAAGGGTAACGATGATGTCGTTCGTGAGATTAGCTTGATTAATGATTGCGAGGCAAACATTTGTGCATAGGGAGACTAATGAAGAGAGAGAGAAAAAAATAAACTCCATTAATTGAAAATAGTCATCACCATCGATTAATTATTTGATGCCAATCAGTCGACGCTAAACAACAGTTGATTACATCAGCGTCATCAATATTGATTCTCGTCGCAGCATGCAAATAACAACCATCATAAAATGAAGTAAAAATGGACGCTCGATTTGGTCATGGAATGCGTTGATATTATCATTAATATCATCCTACGATAGATAAGGATGATCCATTTTGTTATTTTCCATGGTCAAATGGAGTAAAATGATGATTTTAATGGTAAGATCGAAAACATCTGCTCGTCGATGGAGGGAGGAAAAGAGCGATTCTAGGGCTATTCAAACGCGATTACGTCGTCATCATATAGCATGATACCAGTATTACTGCAAGAATCGACCCTACTTGACGCCTGTTCATTATTATCTTCATGGCGTTTTCTTTTCCACTATAGCATCATTTCGACGCCATCATTTTCTTTACCATGTCTTTGCAATGTTGAACTAGGTGTTATTTCTCGCTCGTAAAAAGGGAATGCTATCTGTGTATAGGATTTACAGTCCTAGTTATAACTGAACGTTTTGATGACTGTGCGAGTGGTCTAGTCAACGTACAGTAGACTGTGCAGAATAACTTGATAGTTTTTTTTTTTAATAAAAATAGTAAAACCAAACTGATAGGCCATCGATGGCGATTCAATCCATATCATGAATCCATTATGATAAATTTATGCCTTATAGAATGACTTACTGTACTATGTTCTAACAGAAATTGGCATTCTGTTAAGCAATTATCAGAATTGGAAATGGCTACCAAGGCTTCTTGTGCTTGACTTCTTTGCGTGGCATCAGTCGATTCGTATAAATCTTTGCACAAGGCCTCAATTCGAAGAATCTAATAAGGTCAAATAAAATTAAATTTTGCTTTGATTTTACACTATATGGATGCTTCCATTGATTTTAATCATCTTTAATATATAATATAGTCATAAAATTGACAATTTTTTGCATGTTATTCCAATCTTGAACTCAAATCATTTTCCTCCATTTTTACCTGCTGGCGATCGTCCATGGTCATTCTACTGCTTGAACTTGGATGGGTGTTGCGCATGCGTAATAGAAATAGCCTCTTTTACCCACGGTTGTTATGCCATGCCTAGGCAATCGAGGCGTGACTCACTGACTGCTAGTTGTGTGTCAATATTGAAGTGATGGTACTGATGTATGACTACAATGCTCTAGTGAATATATAGAGACCGCCGTGATATCGTGGCCAGTATGACTTCTACCATGCCCTACCACGGTCGAGACTCGCTGTTGCCTTTCACTAGCAGCAATATGGTTAACCGAGAATGGACGCTAAACTCTTTAGTCTGTTGCTCTCCAACTCATGCTAATTAACAATTCAATGGGTTGATTTTTGTCGTTGCTAATGCAAGTTGGAGCTATCATGTATGACTTGTAATTCTAGCCCATCTTCAAGTAATTACAATAAACCAAAGGCATGCCCGCGACTTACTGTTAATGAATGGGGGGCCCCCTGACCATGGTAGTCGAACTAGCACAGCTGGATTAGCCTGGATACCTGCATGCAGTCTACTATTTTTAACCATACACATTGATTAGACTTGTTTATTATTAGAAATCACGTAATCGTGTTGCATACTATGATAGGGTAGGCAGTAGACCACTAGAAAAAATCCATTGGCTAGGGTAAATGCATGCTACTGTATTTATTTACTCCAACTACCGCCATTGAGGTAGGTAGGTACTGGCAAGTGAATATCAACACTTGCTATACTAGTGCGCAAATCGTACAATACAGTTGATATTGTAGCACCAATTAAAAGCGCGTATCATGCAACACTATGGTAACCGTGTGTAACTAGTGGATACCAGATAACATTCCGTACAACGTTAGCAAAGAACTTTGCTATAACCAATAATGCACAGCAAACTGTCTATGTTCAGGCAATCTGCACCTTAGTTGATCAAATTAACGAGTTTTCTCTCAACTTATCCACAATCAAGACTGCTATCAACTCTCTCTAGCTAAAAATCCAAATCATCTGCGCTTTGATTGACAGATTCTCTCTTGATTTTATCGACAATTAAGACTGTAAACATTTTTGTTTTGACAAGTATTGCTACGCAGACTGATCAGATCAGCCAGTTTTCTCCAAAGTTCATTAATTTATCCACAACCAAGACCACTGGCAGCTCCCTTTGTCACGAGATCCGAATCATCTGCTAGGTGATGAATCAATTCTCTCTTATTTTATCGACAATCCAAACTGTATGGTGGCTAATCTAATCAGCGAGCTCTCTTGATTTATCGACTGTTGACATCTCTGTCAGCCCCTTATTTCTGTTTCGTATCAATAAAAATACCTGATCACCTCCAACTATCAAATTAACCAGTTCTCTTTCACTGTTCGATAACCAAAACTATTGCTATCTCTGTTCATGAGAAGATCAAGTCTTTTGCGCTGCTGGTCGACTGATTCTCTCGTAATTTATCGACAATCTAAAATATGAACACCGTTGTCTATATGCATACTTACATTGGAAGGCTGATAGATCAAATCAAAGAGTTCTCTCTTAATTTATATGTCGATAATGCTGTCGGTGCCTCTGCTTAGGTCAAAATCCAATCTTCTATAAACTAGCCGATCAACTGTCTTATTTTATCGTCAGTCAAGATAATGAATATCTTTGCTTATAAGGAGTATTTGCACGTTAACTGATCAAATTAACGAATTTTCATGTTATTGACGGACATGCAAACACTTAGCATCCCTGTTAGTTCCTTTCTCTGTCAGTAAAAATACTCCATCACCTGCACACTGATTGATCAAATTAACGTGTTCAGTCTTAATTTACCGACAGTTAAGACTGTTGACATCTTTATTTATAGAAGTTATCCAAGAATCTCTACACTAGTTGGACGAATCAGCGATTCTTTCAACGACATGTTCATTTGCAGACAAAACTGTTAACATCTCTGTCAATAAGTAATATCTATTACTCTTTACTGCCTAGTTATTCGTAGCTAAGGTATATCATAACTTCATGAATCAGTTTATATAAACAACGCTGGATCCATGGACCATTCATTGTCAATGATTAAGCTTGCATTGACCATTATTATCATCTGTATACTACCTAACATTGGCTTGCTAATTCGTCAACTTGTCCTATCAAGTACGAATACAAGTTGTTATAAGCCTAGATGGAAGCCCTTAACTAACAATTCAAATTGCTACTGTCAAGGCAATGCACTCAAAGTAATCTACAATAAATGTCGACCTTGCCCTAATGGATCATTTACATTCAATCATTGGATCACTTGTCGACGCTGGCTTGATTGCAATATTCTTCGTGATCATTTATTAGTAAAGCAACAAATTGGTTCTGGTGCAATTCGTGATGTATACTTAGCGAAATGGAATTCCTATTCTGTAGCCTTATCGATATTAGCTAATCATCATTATCGACCAGATTTCATGCATGGTATCTCAATGATAATATCATTGCAATCATCTCCATTTGTTATTAAATTTTTGGGTATGTGTAATCATCATGTAATCACAGAATATCATCCATATGGCTCAGCTGATAACATACAAACTATTTTACAGCAATTAAATATTAGTCATAATGCCAACATTCGATATCAACTCGCTCTAGATTATGTTAATATTATTCATTTCTTACATAACAGCCCTAGAGGGACATTGGTTATGTGCGATTCCAATAATCTCATCAAAACTCTATCACAATATGTCATTTCTCAAGATCTTCGAATGATACTCAATGATGTTGATGCATTGCCTTACGTCGACCGTTTAAATAATCAATTGATTAAATGCGGTCGTAGACAGTTATTTGGAGATTTTGTTGCTCCAGAACAACTTTGGCCTTATCCATCTCTTCCTTTTAACGACAGCCAAATGCTTGGCTACGATGAAAAAACTGATATCTGGAAATTACCTAAAGTGACAGAGTATATCTTAACAAGTAATGATTGTCCTGTATGTTTAACCATTTTACATGAGTTAAGACCATTGCATAAGTTATGCCGGCTAATAAATCCGAAGCTACGGCCAACATCATCACAAATATTAAAAGAGTATTATCGCATTAAAAAGTTTTATACTGTGTGATAATATAATTATCAAGTATAATTACTGATAATTGCTATACATTACGACCTAACGTATATTGCAGTAAATGCTCATAATGTAAATATCTATGATTTAAAATAAAATTACCTACATTCTACTGTCGAAGCGCAGACGATATATACATCCAAATTAGCTCAGTGCTAATCAGAGATATTTAATTATCTCGAATAGATGGTTATAAGGTAGGTTATGTTAGAGTACTAGAATATCTGATGATATTCGTTAAAGCATTTTCAATTACATGTGAAGCAGGCTTCATTATTGCACTCGACAACAGTCCAATACAGAATTTAATTTGTAAGAAAAAAACTTGTTCTCCTGTGAATTGTTGTAAGCTACAATTAAACTTGTGCATTTGACTGTTGTTAAGAATTTTTAACATAAATTATAATAAACTAAATCTGGTAATATATCTCATACAGTATTTAATTTTTTGATTTAAACTATTAAACTCCACATGCTTGAAATAAATCCTGTGCTACAATTAGAAAATGGATACATTAACGAAGTATTTGATAGGCATCTAATCTAACTTAGAGGACATTTTTGGCAACAATTATATGATAATCAAGTATCTTCATGCTGGCTAATTCGGAGATTGTTTGGGAAAAAATTTTATGTAGCCCTTTGTAACTTCAGAATAAAGGTAGATATTTATTAACTTTCAGAGATAAATTGCTGTGGAGATAAGAATTCGACTATATATGAGAAATAACATTAATATAAAATAAAATGGTTGACTCTTATAATACATTGTGATCACTGATGTTTTGCCGGAACAATCATATCAATATATAAATATATTATACGAGTATATATAGATATAGATATATATATGTATATATGCCCGAAATGTGTACTAAAATCATGCAGCATGAAAAGCAAAGTATTCAACAATAATACCATATAATTATATTTTGCACTAAACAATCTGACCATAAACACAGTATCGGCTACATTAATTTAATAGCAATCATGCACTTTTGTTCAGACATCCAACTGTACTCTTGCAGGTCTACAAAACCCATTGACGTAAATATTCTGCGGAGATTAGTCCTCCATGAATCGATTAGCATTGATGCTCCATATGACCCTTCCATTAAGAAATCAAGCAATGGTTAGTTTACATTAAGAGGATGCAAATGTACATAAACTAACCTTTAGCTTTCAATTGTTCAAGTATAAATCGAATTATTCTTTTTATGACCTTTTCCTATAGTGTTATGATAAAGCAAAACTGTCAGGTTTTATAGAATGGGGATGTTATAAATAGGAATTAATATAAATTTTGTAGAGTTAGTAACTTAAGTTGAATTAACATTAAACACATTTTTATAAGCCCTAAACTGACCGGAACAGATGAATCAAATCTAGCTTCCAAATGTGACAGATACAATACAGACACATCCGTTGGTGGCGTAAAATTATAAAAAGAATTCGCTACAATCTATAGTAGATCAGGATATTTGGAATACCAATCAGGAAGTTCGATAACAAAGATATTACAGGCATACTAATGAGTAATGAGCAGACCTCTTCTGGAGTCCAGGACGCAATATCATTTTCAGGTTGGGGGTGACGATCACGGATCTAGTTACAAGACAGATTAATATTAGATTATACCTGTTTTAATTTTTTATCATCTTCTTGCTCATACTTGCGTTAACCACTCCGATTCATATCGCTCATAGAACTGTTTAGAATCTAATGCACCGCATAGATAGCCACAGATTTTATCTCGGTCATCTTCCAGTACGTAAATATACTCTGGATGTAAGTAAATATATGCTCCTAGATCCCTATAATTTTACAATGTTCAAACAGATACCAATATTATTGAATACCACTGTATTCTACTCATAATAAGCGCCTCATTCTAGATTCGATTTATTACCTATCGCCAATAATCCTTGGTTCTCTTTTGTAAATTTCATCGCCATTGGAATTTTCAATGCATGATTTCAGACATAAATCATACAGAGTCTCCTAAACAATACAATGAATTTAACTGTATAAGTGATACAAGATCTATAAGTTTCGGTCAAGCCAAGTGTGATTACTTCATCTGATGGCATAAATGGGCGTATCACATACGCATCAGAATTCTTTAACGTTGATTCTTCGTATTCATCAGTGCTTACTATGAGGCGCTAAATATAGATAAAAGCAATTAAATAAAATCGATAGATATCATATCTGGCATGGCACACCATGTATTCCTGTATTACATGAATATCGCCTACAAAGCCACCATAGCGAAAAGAACTTTGTTCTGAGTCACTCCTTTTCTCCAGCTTTTCTGGATTTGCTATCATTGGTAAGTAAATAACGTAATTAATACTACGTAAAAGGTAATAGTTTTAACTGGAGCCACCTTTAATATCTCACCTAAAGAATGAATTCGTGATATTAGATGATATAAGATTCCGCATAGATCTGCAACGTAGTTGTATACTTCATAAAGCAGTACACGATTTCGACATGTCATCAAGCGATCCCCGAATTGATGAATAATTTGGCATATTGATCGAAATTTAGAAAATCTTTTATCCCATTCCTGTATTCCAAGACAATAATGATGAGTGTTCTATCAGTTGAAGTGAAACTTATAATCTAGTTGTACTTTATAGTTCAGAATAGTTATGCAGTATACGCGATTCCCTTAATATCATAATGTAATTCGTAATGAAATGAAATAGATGAAATATTTGGGAAAACAAAGGGTAGATCCGGAGTTAGTAAATGATTTAAAAGTATCGATGGATTGTATAACATGTGGGCAATAATGTTACGCCAACTTTAATAATGCTTTTCAAAATGATAAAGTTTTCATTCTATCGCATTATTTAGCAATGAAGTTGTATTTTTATTAACGATTTAATATGTCTAACTGTGCAATCTTTGTATGACTAAGCTAATTTATTGAGTTATCATTACCTTTGCAGCAATATAGTCAGTATTATGCTCGTCCAGGTTGCTACCCTCTGAAGTATTATTCGGCTTTCTAGATAGTGCTGCTATTCTAAAGTTCGACTTTAACCACTTTGCTTGAGCTAGGAGGTCATTGGCAGTCTTGCCATGCTTTTGGGGGAGATAAAATAGCTCAACTAGCAATCTGATATCTTTTACTGTTAGTTCATCTTTATCAGTTTCCATTGAATTTGCTGGAGAAATTGGTCTTGAGTCGGATTGCATTTCATCATCCATGTATTCATTTACGTTAGTATCAGAAGTATCAGCTTCTAAGAGATATCCATCGGGCAGTCGAGGAATACAAAATTCTTCAGTCCACTCTCTAATTGATTGTTCTAGCGCTTTTTCAACATCGTAGTTAAATCTGGTACGTTTACTTTGACACCATAAAGAAAATGTTCTTATCGGTACGTAATTAAGTTCAAATTCGCAATTAGGGTTTGTGAATATTCCATTCAATGATTCCATTAGTTCTGCAGGTCTACAATCGTAGGGACCAAGGTTAAGTCTACCTTGTTCATAGTCATTGGCATGAATATTATCCCATATTACAGGTTTTCGCCGAAGAACTGTCTGTAGTTCCAGTATAGACTCTACGCTAATTTTGTTAGAGACTACTTTAGGACCTTCAATGTACCGAAAATAATAATTGCATCATCAGGACCCGTTAATATTTCATCAGTTAGGTACAGTAGTTATATGATACATACCTGTCCACATTATATGGATATCAGAATGTAAGCCAGTACCTACAGTAACTAAATATTTAGATTCTTTAACATTCGGATCTGCTCGAGCAGCACAGTATTCTAAGTAAAGAAATAAAAGTAATTTACCCATGCGGCAAATAAAGAAAATACGACAATCAAATATTCATATCGAATCTATCGAAACGGTACTTATACCAGTAGGGCAAAATAGAAAGTTAGCTGGCATCCCTAGATATTTATATATCTCATTCGTAACTTCTACTTGTGCAGCAGCAAAGGACTCAAACTCTTCTTGATCTTGTAAGCACATAACAGTATCGATATCATCGAAGAATATAGCAAAGGAATTACAGCCAAAATTTCGAATCTACGAATCATTATGAGAAGTGATCGTTATACCTCATCAGTTTCAAATAATTGCTTTTAATACATTCTAAGGATATTTAATATGCGAACATCACAGATTTTAAATTGTAATTGTAATTTTGTATCTGAATACACGTAAAGTTATAATATTTTAGTATATCACGTGTACGTCAAAAGAGTAAAATAAGATAAGACATTATTTGTGACATACTCGCATGATGACTACAATACCCATATGTCCATTATAAATGTTGATCGTTAACAAATACGGCGATTATACAACTAATGGTAAACAGTTAAGTAGAAAAATATGCATAAATACTGATGAACCTATTTCTTCTAAAAGAAGTCGTATTATTTAGTTATGGAACAATTCAAGGCTACTTATCAGAGTATTACCCAAGTGCTTTCCAAAGATTAATATTATAGGCACACCCAATGCCAATTTCATTAGATATTAAAATAAAGTTTGAAAGCATTAAAAAACTACCCACCTGATCAAGCTTGTCTTTTAGAAATTTCATATCACGATTACTGGAATATGTAATATCAACACCTGGTGAGATAGCATAAATGAATAAAATGCCACTCTCTTCAGCTGCCCGTATTAGAGCTCGTAGGCTATCTGTGAGATTTAAATAAAAAGCAAAGACCCTTATAGAGTGATATGTACCATTAATTTTAACGATTTAGATTTAAATAATTTCGCAAATAGGAGTTTACCCCCTTCACGCTTGGAATAAGCTTGCTTCCATGCAGCACGGTGCTTCTCATCATCTTTAGGCCCGTACATATACGTATTTAACCCCCACTTGGCCATGCTGTAATAGTTATTGAAAAATAAATAACAACTGATTAATAAACCAGCTATTACTTATTTCTATGACGTTCAAAAGGACTACAAAGATCTGCATATCACGTAATAAGAGTGTAATGTATGCTAACGTAAAATACTTTACATATAACGTATTTTTTTAGGGTTTAAATGAATTGGAATTAATTTCGGGCTGCAAGATCAGTAATTACTACCTACGTATAAAACTATGTTAGATTATATTTATACATATGAGAGTAATGTCTTATTATTATAGTTATTTAGTTGATTTGCACTACAATATCTTAGACTAGTGATGTCAAATGCATGCGTTTATCTAAAATATGAAATATCGCTTACTTTGAAAATAAAGTCTTGCGCTGCTCGAAACTCCACGGCTTGCCGTAGAAACCTAGCATTAGGGTTGGCAATATATTTAACAGTTAATAATTTAAAATTCCATACATAGCCACAAGTACGGTATCGTATTTAGTAATCTTAACCTCCGTTTCACATTCATTGTTATTATTAAAAAGTTGAATCTTAAATATCGAAAGCTAATTCATTAGATATATCCAATTAATAATTTATAGCAAACAAGATATGAGAAGGTTGATACCATATTAGAAACAGAAGGTTATTAGGCTGGGGCTTTTTAGAAAAATATGTTATTTTTCTAAAGGCTCATGATTATCATCAGTAAAAACGTAGGCGTATAGCTTATTTGACTATAATGCTTCAAAAATACATACTTTTTTACATACGTACGGTCTAACATCATTATGTGTTTCTATCAAATTATCTTACAGACGATGGTTTATTCATTATATACAGTACAGTCGAAATGGTATTAAAATTGGACAAACTAGAGGGTAAAAAGTTCTCAACTTCAAAATTAGTTGTTGTTATTTAGACTCGTATACTTGTATTTACATTTTGTATTGCAGTCTATAAATTTAAAAAATAAATCTCTAACTTCAGAAATCAGCTATTACAGTTGTCTTTACACATGTATGAAGTGATGGGATTACTACTCTCACTATCACCATACATACAGGACGTCGCATAGTATTGTAATCAATAGAATTTGATATTTGTAAATGAGAGAGTAAAATGCTTAACTTAAGAAACTGCTTACTGCGATTGATCTCGTACCTACTATAAATACAATACATATAGCGATAAAGTCATCACTTTTTCAGTATATTTAGTATACAGTATATCAGTTTATAAAATTATCTTATTAAAGCCTTCCATTTTTCAAAAGAGTGCGCTATGGAGTAAAGAAATTGATAAACTGGTACGTTGGTTACTAGGATTTTGCAAACAATATTTTTTACAACTAGATTAGATTATCATCAACATCTATACTGTACTTTCTGCATTTTTGATAGTTGATCCTACTACAGTATGCCGTATTTATCGTCTAGTAGAGAAGGGATTGTATTATCTAGTAGTCTTCTACACTGTAATTATATTTTTGTATCTGTTACGGGGAACTAAACAGTGACATTCTTCACATAATTGGAAATGGCAGCCGCAGTAGTTGTATGCTTATATAATCAGATTTTGCTGCAACATGTTATGTACGATACAGAACATTCATACGTTGTGTTATGTGATTACTCTAATAATTTTTGTAGGTTAACTAGGCAAGGAAGAACTATTGTGATCATGAATGAGTGGAAAATACCATCGATCAATACTTGATTCTTATGATTAATTATCAAATCGCTATTACAAATACCCCGGATATATGATAAAATTACAATCAAATTGTAATAGTAATAATATATATAAGTTATGGCAAAGCTAATTAACTATCATTGTTACTATAGTTTCTAATGAGAATAGTTTGTATAAGACCATTTTTACTCATCTACCCGTTATACTTTTTCAAGTGCTTGTATCTTGATCTAATCGAATGCAATATCCTGTTTACTTTATTGACAGGAAAGTAGTCTTGGCCTACAAATATTAGTGATCCATGGAGCTAAAGTTAAATACTTCTAGTGAAGGTTATCTTGGATGAAATTATCCTTTCATTCATCAATAGTAGAAAATACTGGCACATTCATTTATCCATATTACAGCAGCGAGATGATCGATTGATCACAGGTCCACCGCTGTAACTGGATGTTATCATGGTGATGTACATCACAGTTACAATTCATCTTCATATTAGTATACCTTCAACCACGCCACTAAGGAATTTATCAGATGTCATCGCTGCAAGAGTAGGTCTAATGGGATAATTTTCCTTGGATAATATAAGTTAATTCCGTTGTTAATTCACTTATTGCAATAGAATAGGAAAAAATGGACGTGATCCTTTCTGCTCTTTCTGCTTGCAACACCAAGGATTGGTTATGCGGTTGCGTATTGAGTCCGAGTACAATAGTACTGGTACTATTCTAGGCGGTACTATATGGTGAACGATAGCGTATAATAGTAAAGAAGAACTTTTCACAGTGGGATACATACAATAGGCATGATAATACCTGTCCCATACAGTATACTATACCATGATGGATTGAATGAGTAGCAATCCTTTTCCATTGTCATGGAGACGGAGGGAGTGGACAAGTAGACGCCTATTGTCTACAACATTCCAGTTTGAATTGGGTAGTCTGGTTAGCAGTTTTCAGCTTATTTCAGCTAATCCAATATTTATTTTGGGGAATTTTACTGCCTAGGACGACTTTTAGTTTATTTTTTAAGCTACTACCGATAGGGTAAATGCTTGTTATAGTATTGTACAACTCAGTGTACGTTTTACTTGGCTTGTCTACACTCTCTTGTACTCTATTTTACTGCCCTCTACTGGCGGACACATTTCTTCTCTGTTGTGTTGTCAAGCTTTATTCTATTCTCCTTCTCTTCGCTTAAGCAATAATACTAGCCTACCACTCGCATGGATCGGCGATTCTACGCTTTTTCACTGAAACAAACACCTACTGTCATCAATGGCTTACTGCACCAGCTATACTGTATATCCCTCACTTAACCAAATTGACTTTACTGTGTTTCTACATCGATAGCATAGTGTGTCGTTATGCACAGTACAAATCAGTCACTTCGTGTTGTCAACACATTGCTTCTCTATGGTAAAGCTCTTTTCTTCTTCTCTTCGCTTGAATGATTCTAATTATTCTAGCACAACCAATCAGTTATCTTATACTAATTTACAGTATTATGCAAACTACAGTAACTAACATACGTAGAAATTGCTGATTTTCCTCAGTGAACTGAATTTACTGTACTGTTCATCTCGTTAGCAAAGTGTTTTCTTGTTATGTTGATTGAAAGCATTGATTTAATGTACAGTACTACTACTATAGTTCACTAAAGTACAGAAAGATGCTTCTACTGTAAGATATCTCTGCTGATTTTGCAGCGAACACTATTAGCGGCACTATTCCAAACGATGCACTACAGTTCAGCAAGATGCTTTTGACGTATCATAAGATATCTCTACTCATTTAGCGTGTCAAAGCAACCTACGGCAATGATCAAAGATTGGAAACGAGACAATACAGTAGCAGAACTGAACGATGATACTAATAGAAATACGCTATGTACGCGAAGCTAAACGCGCGTGCAATATTTTAAATGCTTTGAATAGTCCCTGCTGAGTTTTTGAATGTGATCCGAGGTGGAAGAAAGCCAATTTATATTATCCATTGTCAGCACGTCAAAATACAGTACAGTAAATACAGAACTCTTGTCCTGTTGAGTTATCTTGAGCATGTATCCCTGTGACCGGTATCACGTAACTTTTTATAGCTATAGGAAGGATAGTCCGAGATTGAACAAAACCATTTTTTTATTTATTATCAATTGTCCTCATAATTTTGCCTTATAATAACGAGTAACCAATTTGAACCAGGCCCTAAAGCTTTACTGTCCGTCACCGTCAACTTTAACTAAAAGTGCCTCTATTCTGTACTATCTACCTTAAACTGTTCAGAATTACGCACTTTACTATTGATAATTTGTTTCGATAAAATGGCTCTTAATCACACAAGTACTTCTGTTGGAGAACCATACCGTTCCTGTAGTAGGTGTATATTGATTTTAAGCCAAGGTGAAAATGAGCCTGTTTGATTAGGCAAAATTTGATGTTGAATTTGTCTAACTGAATACCAAAATTGGATACTGTATATTAAAGGTGTAATATTCTTAGCGTTGTAGTAGGTGTACTTGATACTGGGAATGGAAGCGGACAAAAGCATAATGATTAGTTTTGTTAAAAATCGAATCACCAGAGATCATCGCTTATGCGAGTACTATACAGTAGAACGGTTAGAATGCTGAATATATTCAACCACAATCTGCAGACTAATAAATAATCAGAAACTGCATTCGATATAAAATTTTCATGAACGCTATTGGGGTTATAGACCCAATCCAAATCGTTTGCATTCAAACCGTAATTTACGTAATTGTAATACGAGTATACGACATATACAGTAAACTATCAAGCCTTTAAATAAGACTATCGAGATGGATTGTATCATTTCACTCGTCTCACTGTATCATCAATATATTCGTTGAATCATTTCAGCTTCTCATTTGACAACACTAGCAGTTTCCGTTGACTGTATTGTAAATGCATAATCGTTTCATTGACAGCCATTTTCTCCGGTATCACTATTAATGATTCTTAGGATTGCTAACTGTATACATCAACCTACCTCATGCAATTTTAATTCGAGAACTGTCATCACAGCAATAATTGGTGAGCAACACAAACAGTACAGCAAGGTTAACAATCGTTTATATCGAAAAGTTTTTATTATAGAATTGTAAAACAATCTTAACTATCCTTTATAATGTTCTTCGACCTATTTTCGGATTTAAGCTAATATACCGTACTCAGGGTTGTATTTGTTTTTTACAATCAATACAGATATCGTCATCGCTAACAGTACTTCATGTTTTGCCTTACGTAAAATTCCAATATTACGTCAAAGGATTCTACGTAAATAACAGTAATAAATAATTCGAGTTCAATTTAATCGTATCATACGGTATCATAAGTTCGTAAACGGAGTCCTGTGTATATTAATAATACTAACTTAGCAAAACTTATATTAATCACCTATAAAATGTTTTAAACAAAAAATCGAACGTAGAAAATATAACCTCTCATAAATATTACAGTGTCGTATAGAGCAATTAAGTACAACTGCGCTGTAGATAATTATAGTAGAGTTTCGAAGATCTTTACTAACTGTAAACACCTATCATATATATCATGTCATGTAGATATTCATACATTACGAATCTATTTATTTCTTCAAAATCATCCAATTACAGTGGCATTGGTGGGTATATCTGCACCCATATTTGCATCGCTGTTCTTTAGAGAAACTTCTATTGCACAAGCTGTTACTTGTTGTTGGGAACTTTTCAAATCACCGTCACTTCCCTCTTTTATGATTTTCTACGGATAATTTCGTAATAGTAACATTAGAAATGTATGTAAAGTGATGCTATATAAAGTCAGTGTTAATTCTGAAACTGCTTATAAGTTTTTACTTACGACTACTTCTCCTAATATACCACCATAAACAACAGCATCAGAGGAATCGACAGTATCAGCGGCATCAGAAGAATGCTTCGTAGCTTCGGTGCCTATAGGAGGAGCCAATCCAAATACAATTACAAAGTTTCACATCAACAAATACAAATACATGTTTGTTAGAGTAGGTTAACTTATCAGTCTATCTATCAGGAAAAAATAACATACTAGTACATAAGCATCATTACTCACCAAGGGAGTTGATATGTAGGGATAGAATATGAAAAATCTTCTTTAAATTGATTATATACGAATTTAATTCCCGAGAGATTGCTTGATTAGGACACATTGTTAGGTAATCATATAGAAGTAAAATGCCTTGGCACAAGCTATTAAATTCGTTAAATACTTGAAACCACATCTAGAAAATAAGTACACCGTGAATGAGATCTTCAACACATACAACAATACTTCCAAATAAGTTCCACAACAACACAATTATAATAGTAGCACAAATAAGCATTTGTAGTCAAATTAGTTGTTTATATTAATACTATAGATTATCAGGCCATCGCTGTGTAAAAATGCGTAAGTAGTATCAAGCAAGCTATAGTAGAAGAAAAATGAATATACTGAATTTATAACCAAAATGATTATGAATTCAACAACTAATTACGTCCAACAAATAGCTTCCCCAGTTTTAAATTGAATTACAATCAATCAATTAATGACGTTTATATCCGATTAAAATATTGTACCGATTTTAAAAGATTGAACAAACTAGTAAATAGGATCAACACACTCTTACTCCTGTCTCTTTTTTTGATCGATATTAGAGTGCAGACTTTATCATCAAAACAACATAGTACGGTATTTTCTCAGGATACAGGCAGTACAAGATAATTTACCTTTACCGAAGGAGAAGTAGCTTTGTCGGTTTCCTTCGTAGAAGTGATCATATTGCTATTCACTTGTAACCAACGAGCCATGTTAATCAAGTGAATCGAATGTCGACCGTATTTATGCGGTAAATAAAATATATCAATCAGAAGCAATAAATGCTCGGTAGTTACTGTCATGTCCTTTTTAGCAATCCCATCTTTCATGGTGACAGCAATATTTTCTTGATCAATATTTAATTGAGACGGAACAGAAAATTCTTTAACCCACTCTTCAACTGCACAAGTGAGAGCACTTTCTGCACTGTATTGGACATCATCTTTATCTTGACTTTGACACCATAATGAAAATGTTCGAATAGGTACATAATTCATTCTATACTCGCAATTTGGATTTGTAATAACACCACTTAAGACCTTAGCCAGTTCAATAGGCCTATCTTGATACGGCCCTAAGAATATTCTGGAATGATCATAATCGTTGGCATGAATATTATCCCATATTATCGGTTTACGCTTTAAAATTTCTTGTAATGCGAGAATGGAATCGACCGATATAAACGGTGAAATCACGTCTGGTCCTATAAATCGTCATTGAAAACAAAAGGAAGAAGCTATATTATTTTTCTCGATCGTTGTAATTGATTGCCAAAGGTGATTGATTAGGATTCATACAGCTAGCACGTAGTAATACTAGTAATAACGTAAAGGGAGCATTGCAATGCACCCCCCATCATAATTGAACAATGTAGTCCGAATACAATGGCATTCATCAGATTAACTCATTATTTTACCTGTCCATAATACTTTAACGTCGGGATGGAGCTTGTCGCCAATCACTGTTAAATAAGGAGAATTTTCTACACTCGGGACAGCTCGAGTAGCACAATACTCTGAAATGACACAGATATGGCTGTTAATACAGGTTTGGGATATAACTATTAGCAAATCCTACAATATGTATGTTAGTCATGAGAAAGATGATCAACTTTTCATTACCAGTTGGGCAAAACATAAATACGGCCGGTCTGTTTAAATGTTCGTAAATTAAATTAGCTATATAAACATGGGCATCAGCGAAACTTGCAAAATTCCCCTTATCTTTCTTACTCATAGTACAATAAATATCGTCGAAAAAAACGGCAAATGCTTCGCAGCCAAAGCTACGAACCTGAAAAAAAAAATAGACACAATACGTGTTAACAATAACATTATTCTACGAGAAAATAACAATTAAGAAAAACGATTCAAAAGTTAAGGCGCTTCGGTACTCGTCTCGACCGAGAAGAGGCAAACCTGATCAAGTTTGTCTTTTAATGCAGCAATATCGCTAGCGTTTGAATAACAGATATCATTTCCAGGTGAAATTGCGTAAACGAAAATAACATCGTTTACGATGGCATTTTTTATCAGCGCTCTAAATAAATCTAATGGAATGAAGACAGATAAGTTGAAAATAGTCCATAAGCAACGTCAACTACAATACGCGTATACGTTAAGTATGGTTAAAATGCAGATCAAATAGGCCTAAAGTGATCGAAAATTTGTGATTACTATTACTGCATCAGTTTTCACCTATAGTAGTCAAGTTGGAAATTATCAACTTTTATTTATCGGTGACGGTATCAATTTAGAAGTAGCTCACTCGTACAGTGCATGTACAGTACTGTACTGTAGAATAAATAATAATATGTCTAATCTAATCAGTGCAGTATGGTAAGAGAGTTGGATGCGTTAATATCACATTATACTCTAATCATGGATTAATGTTCAAAGGATCGCTAGCTAGTCTAGAGCGATCTTTTTCCATTTTTATGAAAAAAACAACATTTGCCGATCTACTACATTAAAAACGATTTAAGCGACTGAACTGCGATTCAATTTCTTGCTTTCAAAAAAAATTACGTTTGTAAAAATAAGTCATGACAGCTTTAATACAGTGCTGGTATGCCAGCCTATTTTTATTTTTATATTTTTTCAAGGCTATCTTACCTGCTTCAGTTTCAGTATACAAATCCCTCCACGCTGAACGATGTTTGTAATCATCTTTGGGGCCGTAAATGTAGGTATTAAGTCCCCATTTTTTAAGTCTAAAATTGATTTGAAATAGTAGAAATGAATAGAAGTAGATCAACAAAATCAGTAGATTAAGTGCCACAAGTACAATGATATCATAATAAGATGGACGAAAAGGATGAAAAAGACTTATTTGTAAACTCATTATACTACGCAAATTAATGTTGATGAAATTACTGACACATAAAAGTGTACAAGTATACTGTCCAGTCCAAGTGTGATGTCAACTCGGCTACATGAACAATCAATGAAAGCAAACATCCTATCGAGTATTGCAATAGAAAATAACTTCGTCATCAATGACAATTGGGCATAACAAAAGGGCATAATTAGAACTATTTATGACATGACTAATAAAGCAGTGGATACGACAAGAGTAAAAAGCGCGTTAATGGGACATTTTTTTCCAGACAAATTTGAAACGATTTTGACGATGAACCAAGGAGAATGCAAGCATGCCATCTTCTCTATGGATAAAATAACTATCCAATCGTTTCCAGACAATGCTATCGATAAAGCATTGGACGTTATTTTATCCGATTACGGCTATCGTCGAGCGTTATGATTCTTTTGACTAACAACACTGTCAATATCTCAACGGTATACAACATACGTCGCCATGTTGAATTATTTACCTTTCAAAAAGGTCTAAACGATCGGTGAATGACCATGGCAATCCATAAAATCCTAATCGATCGATCGGCCAACGACAGATTGATGGTTACATAAACATAAAATCCAAAATTGGATTGAATTAGTATCTTACAGTCATTCTACACATTACAATCAATGTATTTTGAAAAAAAATCTACATCTCAATACAAACTTTTCACTCCGTTCTTTACAACTACATTATCTAGCTATTTTTTTCTTTCTATGCCAATCGTTTGTATTGAATTCAATCCAAACATTCAAGCAATCCTTTATCCTCAATCATCATCTACTCACCTTCTATCACGCCACAGATGAAATTGTGATTCATTTTTTTCACGCTGTTACTCTTCTAATCTCTCTCACGTTGGTAAATCGACGACTTACCCCGCGACGATAACCAAAAGAAAATGTGCAATGGTTCCGTTATTTTTTCTTAATCTACAATTCGTGATACAATAGCCGTGCTACCTATTGTTTCCTGATTAATGAACAAAGGTCTGATTGACCAATAATATTCACGCATTGACTGTGTACTCATAGTTATTCTAGTCGTTATTAACTGATAATTAATGCATACAAACAGCAGGCCAAAAAATGAATAAGGCATTCATTCAACTGATTCAAAACCATTGACTTACCTTAACTAAACTAAAATACTTCAAGAAGGCTTATTATGCACCGAAAGAGAGAGAGAAAGAGGTTGATTCTTGCAATCTTGACGGTTTATTTTCTCGTCTGCGATGATGCAATGGTTGATGTTTACTTTATTCTGTACTCTACAGTACCATGGCCTACTGTACACTGTACACGATAGTCAAGCCCATTGCAAGAGATGCAATTTGAGGTCTGAAACTCTTGCTCACNCNACTGTACNGAGTACAAGCCTTTCNCC